TATAGTGGTGATAGGTTTAACTTATGAATTAAAGAAGTTGAAGCCTCAAGAAAAAAAAGTATTAGCATAAGAATAGTTTTGTGCTTACTCATGCTTGGTGTCTAATATTATTTTCCTTTGGTGCTAGTACTAGAACTTGAACTCAGGGCCTGGGTGCTGTCCTTTAGCTTTTTTGCTCAAGCATAGTGCTGCACCTCTTGAGTCACAACTCTGTGTCCAGCTTTTTGCTAGTTAATTGGAGAGAAGCGTCTCATAGTTTTTTCTACCTAGCTTGACTTCAAACCATGATTCTCAGATCTCATCCTCCTGAGTAGGATTACAGATTTGAGCTACTGGCACTGGGCTGTAAATTTTAAAAAGTAAAACATTTCATTATAGTTAAACGGTGCTGTTCATAGTGTAGTGATGATCATGTTTATCTCACAATTAATCCATGCTTTAGACAGAGTGGCTTAAGTAGAATATTTTTGCATAACACAATTTAGTAAATTTTGATCATGGTCTTTAGATTGCAAATGGAGACCGACCCCAGGAAATCCTGGGTTCTAGCTCAAGGAAGAGGCTGGACTTGAGAGTTCATGATGGTGATGTGACACATATGTGCATGTGCTCTGAGAAATCAGAAGAGAGCTTGGAAATGGAATTCAGTTAGCTGTTAGGGCAGGAAGGGAGAGGGTAAGCTCTCTTTGGAAATATTGGCCTTCGCTGTTTAGTTGGTGAGTTGACAATATAGTTTATTATACTGTAATTAATACAGGACATACTGCAGTATCTAGTAATAGAGCAATACTGAGGACAAGGGTATTATTTTTGCCTTGATTAGAATGTCAGTCCTAGATGAAAGACTCTGGGTTTGTGTTGAGAGGTAGCAGTTTGGGTTTTTGGACTATTTAATGTGTAAAGGTTAGACCTTTGAGTTTATCAGGTAGATAAACATCTTATGCACATCTTCAATTAATCCTGGAGCCATAAGTATTCCTTAGTGAAAGAAAAAAGAGAGAGAAAGAGGGAGGGAGGAAGAGGAAGGAAGAGGAGGAGGAGGAAGAGGAGTAGGAGAAAGAGGAGGAGAAGGGGGAGGAGGAGGAGGAGGGAAAAAAAGAGAGGGACAACTTTCAGTCCTCTGTTGGGGTCACAGTGGGGAGCTTTTGCAAAAGCAGATGCCCTGGTGTCCCCTGCTATACCTAGTGAATAATATTCCAAGGAGGAGTCCTGGAGGGGATGGAGGTAGGGCTTGGGCATCCACACTTTGCAAAAGTTTCCCTGGTGATTCCAGGATGTCCTGAGGTTGAAAAATCACAGGAAAAAGAAGTAACAGGAGGTATGGGACTGATTATGATAATAGAGTTTCTGGGCTTTAATTTTCTTGAGGCGAAAAATGCTTTGAACTCTTCCTTCTGAGAGTTGAATTAAAATCCCATTTGGCCAACCTACCTGGGAGAAATAAACAGTCTGTGACCTTCCCTGTCACGGAGAAATTGATATCTCATTCTTTAATTTGTAATTTTTATAAAAAGAAGGATTTAAGATAATTGGTGCCTAGTGCCCAAAATTACATCCTTGTACTCTCCTGCAGTTTGTGGTTGGATGACTGGGTGGGAGTGGCCAGGATTGGGAGTACCGCAGAGCACTCCCTGTGAATGGTGCTTTTGCTTTGGGGTGAAGTGTGATTATGAATGAAAGTGAAATCAAGCTCGAGGCTACAAGCGTTCTGAGCTGCAGGCCCGGGAATGCGTCGAGGATCTGAGGCTTGTAGAGACGCAGACAGAACCCAGTTCTGGAGGGCAAATCTGAAGGGACTGGAAAGCAATCCTTGATCTAACCACTCAGAATGGGAATGAGGAGAGGCAGAATTTCCCATGAACTAGCCACACTAGACTGAGCCAGTTAAAAACAATTAAAATTAGGTTTTAATTTTAGAAAAGCTTGGCCCGACGCCCTAGATCTTATAAGGAACTGACTGAAGAACAATTTGCAAATAGAAAGACTTTCTAATACTATAGTTTAATTACATTAAAACTGGCGATTTAGGTGAGCGCCAACAATGACTCAGACTTTATGCAAGCATTGGATTAAGTTTATTCCCAGTCTAGTGCTAGGACCATTTGAAAAGAAAAGGAAAAAAAAAACGGTTTGTTCCTTTAGCATCCTATCACATAAGTGCTATGAGACTTAATTATACATAATTAGATTATTAGTAAGGAATTGGGAGTGTGGACAGATTCTTTCTATGGTTGGCGTATTAAGCTAAAAACAGCATTACTTTGACAAACTAAATGAAGCATAGGACAAAGTATGAACTGCCAAATGAGAATGGTATGTGAAAGAAAGCCACATTAGCACAGCTTTTTACCTTCCAAGAGATTTTTAGACCCAAATGTATTCCATTCAAATTATGCCCCTCTCTGCAGTGAGCTATGCTCTGTTGAAAATAGGGACCTCAAGTCTATTTATCTTCACTTGCTAATCTGCTAAGCCAGCTCTTCTAAACGAGCAAAATGGCAGTGTCTGTAGTAATCAGTATGTGGGCTGGAAATGTGTGAAGTCCAGCGACTCTGTTCTATACAGTCAAATGTTTGCAAAGTATCCCATATATTAAATAAAGATACATCACTATGGCCTGCAGAAATGGCTAATGTATGTCGTCGCAAAGGCTATCCCTACTCTGTTTATTTACCTTGCCACCAGAGAGCAAGACGTGATTGACCTTGGAAACATCTCAAGACTTATTTTTCCTTGTACAAAGCTATTCCAACAAGGAATTCACATCTGAAGTCATGAACCTGTATTAGGACAGAATTGAATTTTTCTTGGCATTCTGTGGTAGGCCTGAGTTTTGCTGGTACTGCTTACAAAACACCAGATTTGCATCTTCTCTGGTTTTTTTTTAATCCTTTTTTTTATATATGATGATTCCACAGAGCATATTGGAAAACAGGAGGAAAGCCAAATCCTAGCAGTGTTGAAGAGAGGACTGTAAATTAAAATTCATGTTCCATTGTGCTTTTTCCAGAAAAGATTGAAAATGGCGTGCTAACATTAATATGTTTGGTTGACACAACTGCACATGTCTCAGTAAATTAGCAGGGAAGAAAGGAATAAACCCAAATCCTCTTCCTCATTACTAAAATAGAAAGATTTTCTTTCTTTTCATTTTTGGGTTCACATAAGTTTGTAATATGAGGAGGTTTCACTGTGATATTTTCATACTGTGCACAGAGTGTACTTCGAACAAATCCACCATGCTGTACCACATTCCCACTTCCCATCTCTTCTTCTGCCTTTTCTATCTCTAAGGTAGACAGTTATACTTATTTTTCTAATTAAAAAGTCACACTGTGGTAATTTTGTAATCTTACATTCATGATCACCTTGAGACTAAAAAAATTCATAAAAATTCTGATGGCTGTCCGGGTGCTAGTAGCTCACGCCTGTAATCCTAGCTACTCAGGAGGCTGAGATCTGAGGATCACAGTTTGAAGCCAGCTAGGGAAGAAAAATCCCCATGAGACTCTTTATCTCCAATGAACCACTCAAAAACTGGAAGTGGTACTGGGGCTCAAGTGGTAGAGTGCTAGCCTTGAGCACAAAGAGGCTCAGGGACAGCACCCAGGCCCTGAGTTCAAGTGCACAACTGACAAAAAGAAAGAAAAGAAAAGGGAAGGAGGGAGGGAGGGAGGAAGGAAGGAAGGAAGGAAGTCCTGATGGCTATTGTTTGAATTCAACATTTATAATTCCCAAAAGAATGCATCAGTAACCAACACTGAACATTATGTACTGTAACAATGGAGAATTAGAATCAATTTACACCAACCATCTCATTCCTTATGTTAAAACCCTACTGTTTGCATAAGTACATTTTTCAAAATAATTGTTTATTTTTTTGTATTTGAAATAAGATATATCAAATCAAAACCAAACCAGATAACCATTTCTTTTGTTCACACAAAACACCTCCCAGGAGGTGGTTGTACAACTTATTTCAAGTTTTGAAATTCTTTACTTTTTCCAAACTATAAGCAAGAGCCTATAAGCTCTATGAAGGCAGAAGTTTAGTCTCTCTCTTTCTCTCTCTTTCTGTCACTTAAGTTTATTTTTAACTGATACTCAGAGCCATAAAAATGGCACATATAAATGAGTTAACATCTTGTTTCAATAGCTACATACATGATTTATTCTAAATAAATCTGTCTCCTCAAATATTTCTCCTTACTTCCAATATCCTTTTTCCCCCCCAGATGTGGAAGAATACAGAACATTATTGTTACCTGTAACCAGCCTACTCTATAAAAGTACACCCAAACTACTCGTTCCTAATTTCCACTTAGCATGTGTTGATAACCTCCCCTATCTCCCCCTTCCTTCCACTCTGCCTGGTACCCGCCCATTCTACTCTTAACTCCTATGAGATCAGCTTTTTGAAATCCACACGAGTGAGATCATGTCTTTCTGTTCCTGACTTAGCTCATTTAACATAATGATCTCCAGTTCCATCCATAGTGCTGCCAATGACAGCATTTTTACCCTTTTTGTGGCTGAATAGCATTTCACAGTATGCATCTACCGAATTTTCTCTATCAGTTCGTTAGTTGATGGACACACGTGAGTTGTCTTCAGTTTTTAGCTCTTGTGACCAGTGTTGTGATAACTCTGCTTTCATTTCACTGATGCTCATAGGGGCTGAAATACATTTTCTTGAGTGTTACTGTAACATCCCAATGTTAACATTTGTACAGCAAATTTACTGTCAAAGAGTTTTTCCCGAGTTCATCTCATCCTTGCATGCGTCTTCGGAGTGGATAGGAACTGGTGGTCTTCCTTTTTAAAGATGAAGAAAATGGGGTTCAGAGGTAGAGAATATAAGGCTGACTACCAAAGTCACTGGTACTTGTTTCCCCTCCAGAAGTCTACTTTCTGAAGACAGATGGGGTCCAGGAGTTGCCCTCCGAGCACAGTTCCCCGCTTTTCTAGACTTTGATGGGATTGTTGTTCTTTCTTTTTAGATTACAGAACAGGTCCTTGCTTCACTGTGGTCAGCAACCAGATGTGCCAGGGACAGCTCAGCGGGATCGTGTGCACAAAAACTCTCTGCTGTGCCACCGTGGGCCGAGCCTGGGGCCACCCCTGCGAGATGTGCCCTGCCCAACCTCACCCCTGCCGCCGTGGCTTCATTCCAAACATCCGCACAGGAGCATGTCAAGGTAAACCTTCAGTGTGATCAGTTATTTATTGGATACTGACTTGCCCCGAAGAGCCGTTCCTCAGTGAACTTAGGGAGAATGAAAAACCTGTGTTAGAGACAAACCTCCAATGTGACTAACTGCATGACTTCAGGAACGTGGCTCATAAGACACAGCTGAAGTCTCATTTGGCTTTGCCCCCCGACCTCCCCTTGGTACCCTTCTGAGGCTTGAACTTAGGGCCTTGTGCTCTTGTGTGGCTTTTTCATTCAAGGCCACTTCAGCTACATCTCCACTTCCAGCTTCTTGCTGGTGAGTTGAAGATAAGACTCTCTCTAATTCAATTAGTCTGCCCAGGCTGGCCTCGAATCACGATCCTCAGGTCTCAGCCTCCCGAGGGAGTTAAGATTAAAGGCATGAGCTACCAGTACCCAGCCTGATTGGCTTTTCCTTGCCAGTAGTTTTCCCCAAAGCCTCAGAAGTGTTTTTCTGTACCTCTGACTCCAGGGCTCACAGTCATGCTGTGTCTTGATAGAGGATAGGGACACAAAGCAAGATTGGAGAACAAGGTGGTTACTGTTATGTTGTTTTTTCATTTTTCCCCCCCTATCCTTGCCTCTGAAACTGTTAAGAGTTCCTACATCTCATGGCTGGTACTTAACTGACCTGAAGTAAATTGTTCCTCTCGACATTTGACATGCTACATTATGCATATTTTTTTATAAGTCAGAAATAAATTAGAATTGGTTTCACACTTTTAAATATCCCCAGATGTTGCCTGCTCCCTTCTTCTGCCTCCTAGAAACCCTTCCTTTGTTTTTGGCGTTTGCTCTAGTTCCTCCAGCTGTACAAATTCTTTCCTTGTCTAGATATCTGGCAGGAAGCAAGAGGAAGGGCGCAGAGGCAGCTTCCTGCTAAACTGATGGGACCGAAAACTCCCAGGTCATCTCTGCTGCCCTCAGCGCATTTTAAAAAAGACAATTAACAATATTTTCAGAAAACTCAGGATACACTTTAGTGAGGCAAATAGATAACAGTTTGGCTGTGCTCTGTATGTTCGTTCTAAAAATATCCTGCACGAGCCCAGAATTTGGCCTTGGTCACACAACTTTGTGGGCCTTCATTGCATTATACTCCAGTAAATTCCACTTCGGATGCTCTTTGTGCTGGCTGTTGTTGTTGTTTTTTTTTGGGTCTGGTCTTGGGGCCTGAACTCTGGGCCTGGGTGCTGTCCCTCAGCTCTTCAGCTCAAGGCTAGCACTCTACCACTTGAGCCACAGCGCCACTTCCAGCTTTTTTCTTTTTGCTTATGTGGTGCTGAGGAATCGAACCCAGGGCCTCAGGCATGCAAGGCAAGCGCTCTACCACTGAGCCACCTTCCCAGCCCTGTTGTTGTTTTTTTGTGTGTATCACATACAACATCTTTGCATGCCCGCCCCCCTCCCCCCCAACAGATAATGTTGCATGTCAGGAGCAGCACGAAGTTGGTTTGAAACCCTGGAACTATAAAAGGATTGACTGTAGAATTTTGTAAAAACAAGAGTTAAAGTAAAACAAAGTAAAGTAAAAACAAGAGTAAAGAGGCAGAAAGTTCCAGTGAAGAATTGTCAGTCGCTGTATTTTGAAGTTAGCGAATTTGCCCATGAACTGGCTGACAATGACGTGAAACGAAGGTCTCTAGTGCCCAACTCTCTGTCCACAAATTCATGGTCAGAGGTTCAGGTGTGCACAGGAGCAAGGGAAAGAGAAGAAAAAGGGAAAGGGATAATTTGACTATTCCTTACTTGGTGATTTGTTTCGTACAATGTGGATTTGGCCAACATATGCTTCCTGTTCTTTCCTGGCTGCTATTCGGTATACCCACCAACAAAGACTTAAAAAAAAATAAGACAATTTGTGGAAAAAAATAGTAGTTTATATTGCCACTTGGAGAATGAAATTCGTCTGGGTGTTGTTTGGTTTGGGGCCAACATACTATCATCTCAGGGCTGTCTTTTGTTGGTCTCTGCCCTCCTTGGCAGATGTGAGGGGCGGTGGACAAATGGGTTCATAGCGGGCTTCTCATGTCTATGGTCTTTGTACATAGAACCAATGGAGAGCTGACCTCTTGTATATTTTCTCTTGCCTTCTGAACATCAAGATTTGTTCAGTCTGTGAAACCACGATTTCAAACAACATAATAAACATATTCAAACTATCAAGAGAATGGAAAATTCTGCTCTAAGGCAAAACTGAAATGGACTATGAAACCTAATCCAATTATATTTCAATATAGTCATTCATTTGTGGGTCAGAGCAGTCCTTGGAAACAGGAAGTGACACTTGCATGCCAAAATAAATGGCTCTGCTTTAAGTGCCTCTTTCACTGCACAACGAGGAATGTTGAGATCCTACGAATGGCAGTCATTCTGTTGCTTCACTGACTTAAGAGTGAAGTTAAAAAGGACACTGGCTTTCCAGAGCTCTAGAAGAATACACGATATCCAGGAAAAAAAAAAAACATTAGATTCTCACTGAGAGCACTTTATCAAATAGTCTCTTCCCTGTCATGTCTGAACAGAAGGAAAGAATGTACACCTAGATTTAGTCTCTACAGCTGCGACGATTCGTTTTGTTCTGGAAAGGCTAGTAGTTGGGATTATACATTGAACCACAGGTGGGTCCCCAGGTGCTTGGCTAGAGCACCCAACAAAGCAAACAGAGTCCTAGGCTCTGGAACCTTTGTTATGGACAGTGCATGAAACAAAACTGTTACGTATGAGATCCTTTGACAGTACAGGCCAGGGCACCAGATGTTTCTATTAAAGTGGCCAGAGAAGAGCTCATGGCTGAAGGGGGCACTGGTCAGGGACTGAGAGGTGGGACAGAAGGAACCCCATTGTGTTCTGGAGAGAACATTCCAGGCAGAGGACCTACCACTACAAAACTCAGAGGCAGGCGTGTCTTGGTGTGTCTGATGTGCTTTAAGAAGACCATCTATGTGGTAAGAGAGTAGTGAGGGAGGGAGCAAAGTGAGAGATGAGATCAGAGAGGTTGCATAGAATGGTCTAGAACTATGCAGGGACTTGAGTTTTGTGTTGGAGACTTACTTTTAAGAAGGTGCCCTCTCACAGCGGCTCTGCTAATGAAATAGGACTAGAGCTGAGGCCTGGGCCAGAGCTGAGGAAACCCTGATTTTCTGAGATATTTAATGTTTACTGCATGAGACATTTCCAGGGCCAAGCGTATATAGTCTGAGGGAACTGACACAAATTTTGTCTTAACTAAGCCGTTCAGTACAACACTTAAAGGTTGTCATATTGTAGATTATATTACATTTTAATTTTTAAGGATTTCTTGGATAAGTCTTATGATTACTACCAATCTGGAGGTGAATGGTAGAGAGGAAATAAAGGCCTTGTTCACGGTACTCTTACATTCTGCTGTGTATGAAATGAAACTCACAAGTTATAGAAATATCCTCCTCTGCATGAGAGAGGATACAAGGTAGGAAACTGAAAAATACTTAAAAAAAATAGAGGGCTGGGAAGGTGGCTCAATGGTAGAGTGCTTGCCTTGCATGCATGAGGCCCTGGGTTCCATTCCTCAGCACCACATAAACAGAAAAAAGCCGGAAGTGGTGCTGTGGGTCAAGTGGTAGAGCGCTAGCCTTGAGCTGAAGAGCTGGGGAACAGTGCTCAGGCCCAGAGTTCAGGTCCCACGACCGACAAAAAAAAAAAAATAGAATGTCCTTGCCTCGCTGTGTTAGTAACTACTTTGTATTCTGTAATTATGAGAAGTAGTTTGTCTTATCATATTCCAAGTGTGATCCCACACACTGATATAAACACGGTAATGGAGTTGTGGACAAATGAGCGTATTTTCTTATGTAACTAAATTTTATATGAATCTTTGTCTTTTGCAAAATTTGACAGATGTGGATGAATGCCAGGCCATCCCTGGACTCTGTCAAGGTGGAAATTGCATTAATACCGTTGGGTCTTTTGAGTGCAAGTGCCCTGCTGGACACAAATTTAATGAAGTGTCCCAAAAATGTGAAGGTAAGCAATCCCATACTCTTTCATTAAGGGGGAATGGGGCAGGGCAGGCAGAACTCAACATCAGCCACACGTTTGTTTGCAAGTTGTTCCTACATCCTTCTGTCTTTGTCATCTCCATGAAAGTGTAAATACAATATTCCTACTAGGAATTCTATTCCTTTGTACTGTTGAACTCTCACTGAGAGAGAAAAAAAATACTCTGCAGCTTTTTCCACATTTTTAGACACCCCCCCCAAATAAGAGGTCCATCTGATTCGAATTAAATGTTAAAACATGAAGTATTTGGGGGCCAATATTTGGTCTATAATGTTCAAGACACATGTTTCTGCATAGTTCTAGACATATGAATTCAAATTTGATCATTAGATCTCATTCTGAATAATACATCATCTGGCATTTTTTTTCTGGTTACAATGTATGTTTGGGTTTTCTTTGTGGAGGAGTGGCTATTAACCCATGTATTTATGTTCCTAGTACAAGTTTAAGATTTTTTTTTCTAGCCAGGCACTGGTGGCTCACACCTGTAACCCTAGATACTCAGGAGGCTGAGATCTGAGGATCACAGTTTGGAGCCAGCCCGGGCAAGAAACTCGGTGAGACTCTTATCTCCAATAAACTTCTGTAGCTCAAGTTGGAGAGTGCTTACCTTGGCAAAAGAAGCTCAGGGACAGTGCCTAGGACCTGAGTTCAAGCCCCAGGACTGGAAAAAATTTAAAAAAATTTTTTTAAAAGAGAAAGAAAAGAAGTTTTCTCAGTTTGATATATTCAGTCCCAAGAGATATCAACAACATCAAGACTGAGGACAAACATAGGCTACATAACTTACCACGTCTCTGTTTTGTGTTCTGAAATCCGACAGCTTCCAGCCTAGGGTAGAGTTCATTTTCTCTTTGTTGTTCACTAAGACCAGTCGTTAACAGGAATATTCTGTGGATATAGATGGGACAGAAGGTACAGATGTTACATTCATACAATAGAAAAATGGCAGGGGCACCTGGCAAAGGAGACCTGTCCACCCCTTCATAGTTGGGAAACAGAGAGAGAGGCTCAGGGACTGAGGTTCTGGTGTCTCTTCTAGAGGGTCTGCCCCAGTGATGTAACTTTCTCCCACTAGGCCCTAAATGTTCTACCACTTACAGTAGTAGCCTGAGCTGGGGACCAAAACTTCAACATTAGGATCTTTGGGGGACAGATAAGATCAAAACAATAACACCTTCTGAGCATTGTTGACTTTTAAATATATACCTCTCTCTTGATTTGGAGAAGTATTTTTTAAACAGTACTGTATCTGATCACTGATTAAATCAAATGGGTCTCAGTAAATTTATAGGATGCTAACTACCACTAGATTTGAGGAGGTTTGCTTTAGATTGCTTTTGATGAGATCTTCTTTTTTCAGGATTCTTCCTTCTTTCTCTAATAACCTAATTTCCCCAAACTTAAAACTTGTGGACCGATGTTTATATAAATATGCACAATCTAGATGAATTTTAAATATACAATAGCAAGGGGAAATGAGTAGACTTTCATTTAAGAAGAAAAAGATAAAGATTTATGGCTGTGATTTGAGAAAAGAGAGAAAGAGTTCTGTCCACCTTTTTTGTTGCCTTTTCCAACTGCAGAGTGCATGTGCTTTTGGAAACCAAGTTCATATTTGCATAGGTTTCCGTGGAAGGAAATTAGAAGTAAAAAGTGTAATTAAGGGATTAAGTTTTATTTCTGGAAGAATTCCCTTGGATTCTTAATTAACCACTAATATTTTGGGATTTAGATGATTGTCAGCCCAGTCATCAACAATTAGAATAGCACTGCCTGATGCAAAAGATTTTTTCAAAAAATGTGGCTCCTAAGTTCATGCACTCTCTAATACATGAACCAAAGACCTTAAGACTTCCTCTTTCCAAATAATGGCATATTTATGTGATGGCCACTTGCTATTAGGAGCTTTTATGCTTTCAGCACCCGCGAGAGTCCTTGGGGTTACGTGACCCTTTGTTACGGGTGGGGCTTATCCTCTGGCTGTGTGCAAGCCTTTCCTTCTTGTTGCTTGGGGAATTTGGCATCTAATACATTTAGGCAAAAGAGCCCTGTGATCAAGGTGGACCTGTTAAGTCCTCAATCTCATATAGAAGCCTAGCCACATCAGCTGCCATCTCTGAGTCACTATAGTATCTTGAGGGGCTCAATGTCATAAAAGAAGCATGCCTGGATACCAGAGGTACAGCAATCTGGTCCTGTGTTCACACCTACATCATAGACATTCAGTGAGGTCACATCCTTAAAGTATTTAGATAATGCCTAATTCTCTACACACATACTCTCGTTATTATCATAGTTGCCATGGTTATCTTCAAAAAAGATTCTACTTCTATCCTAGCTGGTATGCAAAAGATGTGTCCTCTAGCCTTACCAAACTAAGTTTTTTAATAGCTTTTTCTGATCTTTGCAGCCACTTAAGCTCTTTGGGTATTGGTGATTGATATATACTCACTGGCCTTAATGAAGATGACAACCATCCATTTTTTAATAGGTTGAAAATATTTTACCCTTTTTGTTGTTGACTTAGCATGCATTAAGAATGTGGGGTTCCATTGTGATAATTTTGCAAATCCTTATAGTGTGCTGTGAGCACGTTTATTAACTCTACTACACACAATGCATGCCCTTCACTTCTTAAACTGCATTTAGTGGGTTGAAGAAATATTTTTTTGCTGGGCACTAGTGGCTCATGCCTATAATCCTAGCTATTCAAGAGGCCGAAATGTGAGGATTGTGGTTCAAAACCAGCCTGGGCAGGAAATTTGTAAGACATTTATCTGCACGAAACTACCAAAAAATCCCACTAGAAATAGAGCTGTGGCTCAAGTGGTAGAACACTAGGCTTGAGCATAAAAGCTAAGGGACAGTGCCCAGAACCAGTATATATATATATATATATATACACACACACACACACACACACACACACACACACACACACACATACTATCTGTCTGTCTGTCTCTCTGTCTGTCTGTCTATCTTGAGATGATCTGTAGCAGATAGTTACCTTTGGTCGGTCTGTAGTAGGCATTATCTTTTAGGGACATTTTGTTGGAAGTATGTTCTTTATTGTTTTGTCTTCTGCCTTTAAATGAGGTTTGGAATACCATAGACTCTTTGATACTCTTGTTTGATTGGATTTGTGTGTTTGTATTGAGTAAAAATGTGGCTGAAAAAAGATCTATGATAAAGACCAGTTTTAAAATGCTCTTTGAGATACTGTAGATTCTACATTTGTCCCTGCCCTCGGCCATTACTTTGCTTGAGTGTTTCACTCCAGTAACATTTTTATCTGCTGGAATAAAACACGCACCTTTACCATTACACAAATTCTCAGTGACATTGCTGTTTATGTTAGCATTGGTTCTCATATAAACAACACAACATTGTTTGCTTTAGTGTCTAGCCTAGCAAAGAGGAATGCTTTGAAAATGTCATACTGCCTCTACCCAGTGTCACTACTGCCTTTTGACTAACGAAGTAAACTAGAGCCCAACTATACTTAAATCTGAGCCACGTAGAGCCCGACTTTGCTATGTGCAGAGTAGAAGTTAGGCTAGAGAAGATATGTTCTTATTTGAAGTCAGAGCTTTTGTGAGCTTCAGTGGTGTCAGACTGTCCATTACAGTACTGGGGACAAAGTCAACCTATCCCGGGATAACAAGACAGACCTGCTCGTTTGTTTCCGAGAGACCAGGTAGGTTCTCTGAGCCCTGACTTAACTTCTGCACTAAACGAGGATTTCTCAGTTTTCCTTCTCAAGTTCTTCTGTGCCACATGTTCACATTTGTCCACGTGTAGCGTGGGTTCGTCCACATGTTCACTTTTGTCCATGTGTAGCGTGGGTTCGTCCAAAGCTCCTATTATAGCAAACAGATTGGTCCTAATGGAACATTCATAGCTGCTTTTCAGAAGATCAGTGGCCTCAGGCCTACGAGGCTGACCCTGGTTTGGGCCTCTGTAGTATTCAGTTTGCTTAATCGGAGATGTACTAAGGAATTAACTAGAGGAAGAGAAAGAGAAGAGAAAGACTGCACAGACAGAGAAGGTTTGCTGTGGTACATCCCAGAAATCACCTTTGCTAACCCCAGAAGAAAATGGGGAGTTGGAGGAGTGGCTTTCGGAGTTGTACTGCGTGGGGTTGAGATGTGTCTGTCATGGGGCATGGAGTACACGAGGAGACTGTCACCTTGGACGAGGCAGCCTTTTGTAACCCAGGCAATGATTCCCAAAAGATCTGAGAGCCAAAGGCAGCATGCTAACAGTCCTCCCCAGGAGCTGGGACAGCAGGGCCTTTCTTCAAGAAAACTCTGGGGAGATTCAGTGTCTCACCAAGTGTACATTCCCCAAACCCACAGAAAGCCATCTAATGGTAGTTTGGGTGTGCCAATGAAAAACCAAAGATGGTACTTGCAACCTGGTCTCGTCACTCAAGTTGGCCAACTCTTGCTCAGTGCTCAGACCACAGTGCTTCTCTGAAGGATTTCATTATCTGATTGTAGAAAACTGGATTCAAAAGCAACAGAGGAAGCAATGAAGAGCATAGAGTATTAGTAGGGAGTAGAATTCCATACGAAACATGGAGAGGAGAGGAAAAGTGAAATTTCAAACTAAATGGCATCTGGCATATTAGCATACCAAAGTTAATTGTTGAGACAACCACAGTTTTCAATTTTAAAAAGGGGTGAGTTTACTTTGCTTTAATCTCTTGAATTTGGTAAACCCCTTGGGTAAATCTGTTTTAAGAGAAACACATATTTGGGACTCACTACTTCTCCGGGTAGGTTTTATTTTGTAAAGATGTCTGTTTCCAGTGACGTGATTTTTAACTAGTGATGCATCCAAATCCCCATAACCGTTGCTAGTGTCATCCTGCCTTCTACCAATACTCAAACTCTTTTCTTCCCTTATGTTCCAGACATCGATGAATGCAGCACAATTCCTGGAATCTGTGATGGGGGCGAATGTACAAACACAGTCAGCAGTTACTTCTGCAAATGTCCTCCTGGTTTTTACACCTCTCCTGATGGCACCAGATGTGTAGGTAGGTTTAATGAAGATGTCACTGCAAATAAAAACCAGTGCTTCAATGGAAGTCTTTTTTGAGTAAGTTTGTTGAGCATGCCGGGGTGGGGTGGGGGGCACATCAGGCCTCCTCATCTGGGGTCAGAGGGTGCAGGTATGGAACTAGAAATGTATTGGATACTTCAAACACCCTGGTAAAACCAGAGGCCTCCTGGGGCTAGGATGGGGAGCTGTTACCCTCCTCTCCAGTCACTTCACAGGGTCACCGTTCACTCAGGTCAGAAATTTTACAATGATCCCTTAATTGGTCTTCCTGTTTCCTGGCCTCTGTACAATCCGTCCTGTCAGATTTATCTTCCTAACATTGCACTTTGATTAAGTTACACAGCTGCTCAAAAAATTCTCAAGTAGTTTTCCACTAGCCTTTAGAAACTGATGGCTTTCAGTCTGTGTCCAATGGATTTTTTTTTCCAGGTGCTAGGTAAGGCCTACAAGGACTGCAAAGGTTAAAGGACTCATTGTTACTGTTCTCTCTCCCTCTCTCCCCCTCCTTCTCTCCCCCCCTCTCTCTGTTTCTCTCTCTTTCGTGGTATCTTGCTTGCTCTCTCTCTGGCTCTTCTCTCTGTCTGGCTCTCTGTATGTCCTGACAGTTCCACTCTTATTTGATGTAATATTTGGGTTCCTTATAAGATATCACACAATATTTGACAGCTTCTAGATGTAACAAGTATTAAGACTTCCTCTAGAATCCTAAGATTGGGCACAGCCCAATAAATAAAGGGCTTCACTCTCTAACTCTCTCTCAAACTTACTAACCTATTGCTGCAGTCCAGACTTCTCCCCGTCAAGTGGACCATTCACTTAGCTCCTTCATACTTCTAGTCATCCTCCTTACACCACTTAAAACCCTTCTTCCCTATTCTAGTCCCCTTTTGTGCTTACACTCAGGCTCTGTCTTCGAATACATCTCAACTGGGTTGATGTGAAAGCAGTTTCTCCCTTCCTTGAAGACATTCTTTTTATAAGTGGATTTACAGGGGAACCTGTGTGTCTGTGTGTTTCTGTCTTCCTGATTACGTTTAAGCTGCCCTTAAAGACCAGTAACTACTGCCCTTCCTTGCCTAGTGGGTGTCAGCCTACTTGTTTGTACATAGTAGGTGCTCAGTAAGTATTTGTTACATATCATCACAAGTAATTCCTCCTCCTCTTCCTCCTCTTCTTCCTCTTCTTCCTCTTCTTTCTTTTGTTCCTCTTCCTCTTTTCCCTTTTCTCCCTCTTCTTCTTCTACTGTACTAGGGTTTAAATTTAGTCCCTCATAATTGCTAGTCAACCACTTGAGATATACCCACAGCACTCTTGTTTTTTTTTTTATTTTTTTAGATAGGGTCTTTCACTTTTCCCCCTACAACCTGGCCTTGACCCACAGTTCTCCTACCAATACCTCTGATGTAGCTGGATTTCAGGCACGTACCACAGTGTCTGGCCAAGTAGTTATTATCAAGGTAAAGCTAGGAAGCCTGTATCACATAGCCTTGAGGAAATGCTATATATTTGAAGCTTATCTGGTTCATGTTTTCAAAGCTGACCTATACTTTTCTTTCATAGTTTGTCTAGCTTTGTTTTATTCACTTAAGGTAAATAAGTTAAAGATCTCTAAATTAGCCTTTATTTTTATTTTTATGTCATTTTTATTGTAGAAAATTCTTTACTTTTCAAAACTTTGGTTGGTTGTCTTTTTTGTTTTTGCTTTTGTTTTTTTTCTGTTTTTTTTGTTTGTTTGTTTGGTGGTTAATTAGTGATATGAGTCTGACAGGCTTTACCTGCTCAGGCTGGCTTTGAACTATGATCTTCAGATCTCAGCTTCATGAATAGCTAGAATTACAGGCATGAGCCACCATTGCCTAGTCTCAGAACTTTCTTTTAGCTGGACTGTGCAGGTATCTGTTTTTACTAGAAGAGAGGCACATCCTCAGCACATACCAGGTGTCCCTACCTTTGCCTTACTTCCTGTTTCCTCCTTTTCACAGTCTTGTCTCAAAGTCGTGACCTTTCAGTGGCTCAGAGTCACACTGTGGTATGTCAAATGATGTCATAACAACCAGAGAAGATGTAGTCAATAAAAATGATACATAAGAAAGTGTCTGATCCTGTTGTTTTGGAAGATACTGTTCTGCCAGAAATAAAATTCTTCTAGAGCTATTGTATTTTATAGAACGAATTATTTTCAGTCACTGGTGTTTTGAGCTTATAAATATCTAAAACTTTATAAAGTGTGTTGAGACCTTGGTACAAAGGGAAGTATTGGCTGAGAAGCATTAGATCTGAGGATGAAGTAATTCATTCCTTTAAACAAATTCTCACAAAGTCACAGACTCACCCGTTTCCAGCTGAAAAATAAGGAAGATTGTCTAAGGATCAGTGAGCGCAGCACAGATTTAATGCTGTTTTCCAATACATTTATATAAGTGTTTGCCTGAAGTGGCCCAAATTAAGTAGTTTGAAACCAAGGACAACCTAGGCTGCCTTCAGAGTAGAGACATGTCTTTATAAATAACTGACACTGCTAGTGGTTTTCCTAGTGCCATTTCTTCCTATGACACATATGGTTTTCACCATTCATTCCCACCTTGCTTTCCCAAAGCAAGACTTTGGCCAAAGGCACCAGCACACAGGGGCCAAAGGCATGAGACACGGCACTTCTGATAGGAGCGCTGAGCTCTCAGCCTCGCTTCCGTGGGACACGGGTGTGAGTCAGCTCTGCCACTGCCTTGGAATGAGAGATTGAGGTACCAAGGCGGGAGCTTGTTCTCACTGGTTGCTTGTGTGTGTGTGTGTGTCTCTTCAGATGTTCGCCCAGGATACTGTTACACAGCCCTAGCAAATGGACGCTGCTCTAACCAGCTGCCCCAATCCATCACCAAAATGCAGTGCTGCTGTGATGTCGGCCGATGCTGGTCCCCAGGGGTCACAGTCGCCCCTGAGATGTGCCCCATCAGATCAACAGGTAAGAACCTTCCGGTAATTATGGTGTATTCCAACCCAACCATTACAACCAGTGGTATTGTGTATAATGCAGACCCAGGGGGAAACGCAGATAAACAGATAAGACTCCAGAAAAATGATGTTCTTGGAGAATCTCCTCAGATAATGCACAGGGGAAATGCAAAGGTCTGTACAAACTACTCTTTTCAGATACTACTCATTACTAAGTGTCTTATATATGGTACTCAGTGACTCAGAAGGATAAAGCCATTTTCCTAGAGCACACATTTCTTCTTTCCTCTTCCTTTGGCCAATTCCTATTGATTTTTTTTCCTTCATGACTTCTCTTTTATCTATTATATTCCCTTCATTTGCACTAAAATCTGTTTTCTATAGTCGGAACAGTTGCAGGAACTTCCCAGCTCGTCAACGTGAAATCCTCAGCTGCCACAAACATTTCCCTATAGCTCATTTCATGTTCAATTAAAGAATGTTTAGGGAATGTCCAGAAAAAATTTCCCGTGGGCTGTGAAGTGGCTCAGTGGCAGAGCCTCAGCACCACATAAGCAGAAAAAGCCAGAAGTGGCGCTGTGGCTCAAGTGGTAGAGCGCTAGCCTTGAGCTGAGGAGCTCAGGGACAGCACCCAGGCCCAGAGTTCAGGCCCCACGACTGACAAAAAAAAAAAAAAAAAATTTCCCCAGGATGAACTCAATAAATATTTGATAGTCCAAGACATATTTTCCTCAAAAGAAAATGTGACTTCTTGACTTAACATTTGCAGTCCCTAAATCTGATCCCAGTTCATCCTTTAACAGCTAGTATGTATGGTAGCTTTGTTTTCTAATTAGATTCTGCAATTCAGTTTTCCTTCAGTGTAGTCTAAACTTTTCTAATTCCTTTTAACTGAAACTTCTGCATAGTTCAGGTCCTTTTTCCTACTCCCATTCTTATCATCTTTTCTTGCAATATACTATCTTACGCATTAAGGATCTGGTCAAATGTAACTTTATCCATGAGCTTCCCAAGATAACCCCAGACGGAAATGTTTCAACTTCGTTGTGCTTGTTATTTTGCTGTGGCACAGTCCCATACTGTCTGCCTTGTGCCTACTTCTGTTCATGGATTGCTTTTTTACAATTTGGTAAGTCTCATGAAGAGATCTAACCCATGGCAATCCCATATATATATATATATATATATATATATATATATATATATATATGCACACACACTACATATATATATTAATGTTCTTTATATTTTCAGAGTATTTAGCAAGATCTTTCTTACAGAAGGCATTTTAGGTAAAGGACTGATAGGTACTATTTTCTCCATCAATACTAACTTAAGACTGAGCAAAATAGCTCTCTTTAACTTGATTCCTGAAAAGTTGTTAGTTTAGGAGAGGCAGTGAATGTGAGGATGGATGAGTGCAGAGTGAATGTGATACTTCAGAGTGTCCTCTTCTCAGGATATGAGTTTCTCATCATATAGACCAGCTCACAGGTGTTACTATAACATTTCTTGTTTATTGCTGGGAATTCTGAGTATGGATTAAAGAAACAATACAATTTATATATATATCTATATATCTATATCTATATATCTTATGATCCAACAAGTCATATATCTTGTTTGATTTGCTCTTTTTCATGCCCTCAGCCCCAATCTACCCTTTGGAGTTAAATGCAGGACCATGTACTAGATCACTATTTAGAAGAAGTATGACTTCCTACTACGATTTGGCTTTGATATCCAGGGAATTGTTTTTAAATGCATTTGCTAACTTGAAAGTGAGCTGCATTGATAGGAATTCCTCATGTTGACCGAGAAAGGACTAGGGTAAGGGTAGGTGTCAGCAGGAAGGCCTACTTTGGAACAGATGGAGCACGTTGGGTTCCTGTGTGCGGCTTTTCAGGGAGTTGTTCCCCAAAATGCATCACTAGAAGATGCCCAATCCTGAGACAGCCTGATTAAGCAAACTATTTTGTTTGATTTTTTTTTTCCTCCAGAAGGTCTAGGACCAGAACTATAGAAGTTAGCTCTGCTTATGGAAAAGGCTGATATAGGAAGGATTTTAGGTTAGCCAGCTTTTCTGGGTATATGTATAATATATATTATATATAATTATATGTTACATATAATTATCTGTTAATATATAATTACATGTTAATATATATTATAATATGCAAATATATTATCTTTAACATTGTATCTTAATATATACTATGTACTTTACATAATTACACTATAATATAATTGCATTATATATAACATATAATTATATATAATATACATATATGTAATCTCTGGGCTAAATGGAGATAGGAAAAATAGAGGTCAGTTGAACAAAATCAGCCTCTGTTGTTGATCTGCATAGAAAGGAGTTAATGAGAAAATTATTAATCTCTAAAAGTAGGAAAGAGTTTAGGACCCAGTGTGATATACTTTCCTATGGGGCTTAAGACGAGTTTAATGGCATTCTTAAGGTAATATAGCCACCTCATTAGCAAAAATACGGATAAGCTGTTCAACTTCTTTTATACATGTCTGAAAGGAATTTCAAAAGAAAGGCTGAACTGGCACAAGCACTGAACAAGTGCTTGGAAACAAAGTGAACTCCTAATAGAGTTGTCATTCACGGAAATCCACCGTATAATGAAATCCTCTTACGTGCATTCTACAGAGGCAGGCTGAGAATGAGAATTAGGTATGAGTTGTACATGATCCTCGACTTCAAAGACCACACAGTCTCATTGGTAGAAATACGGCAGAAGCAGGTTCTCAGGGAATGATGCTTATTCCTGGTGAGACAATAACTCTCTATAGAAGGAGTCTTTGATCATTGTGGTTTGACAGAAGGGATTATAGCATCCTGAGTCAGGGAAACATAAACAATATACAAATCCTTTCTAAATACAGTTGAGTACTACAGACTCTCTGTGGGCTGAAGTTCTAGATAAAAATGCAGTAATAGAATTCTCTGAAAACATAAACTTAATCTGAGTTGGAAGTATGAAATATGAGTGAAGAAATTTTGAAGTCTCACTCTGACATTTCCTCCTTCTCCCAACACTACCTGTTTATTTCGAAAACATGCTTAGGCAAAAATGTCCCCTTCTGTCCATATCCATCATTGCCTCCTTTGTCCAGATAGCCTCCTCCTGACCTTGACCTCCTGCAACTGCTTTGTCCCCCATCGGTACATTCTCCAGATAACAGCAAAAGTGACCTGAAAGATTCCTCTGGTCAGTCACTTACCACTTCGGGAGACCTTCTGCGACCTCCCATCACAATTAAACAAAACCTAAGCTTTTTGGTGTTCTCCTTAGAGTCCTCTGAAATCCACAGGTGGAACTGGAACGAAGAATGTGCATGTTTTCCATAAAGTAAACTTTATATACAGGGAGGGACCTATGTAGACTTTGGGCGATGCATGTGACACGGATTTGGATTTGAATTATTATTTCCATATGCTTTTTTGCTGTGGGCATTCAGAATGGCAATAAAGTCATTCAGAGTTCTTTTTTTTCCTTTTTCTCCAGTTGACCAGTGTGCTTAGAAGATGGGTTTTATTCAACGATTTCTTTTCAAAGAGTGTCTTCTGTGGACCTATGATGTCAATGACTGCTCAGCTTATTGTGTTATATTGTTGTTGTTATTTTCCCCCAGAGGATTTCAACAAGCTGTGTTCGGTTCCCATGGTATTTCCTGGAAGACCAGAATACCCTCCCCCACCCCTGGGGCCCATTCCTCCAGTTCAACCTGTTCCTCCCGTCTTTCCTCCTGGACCTGTACTTCCCGTCCCGCGGCCACCGCCAGAGTATCCCTACCCATCTCCATCTCGGGAGCCACCAAGTAAGAATACGAAAGCTATCTTGTTGTGGTTGTTGATGTTTGCATTAATCAGGTTAAAGTGGGCAGTTGCTTGTGCTGCTTTAGGCATTAAATGGATTTATGAATTATTAGGCTAAAAAATTTCACTTATATATTGTTGTATATACATTTCTCAGTTTTCCTATTGCACAGATAGAAGTAAAAGTCCTTTGTATTTTCCTAGAAATTAATGTTCTTTTGTTATTAATATTTTCAGAGACAGAGTTACAGGAGAGACTGAAGTCTGCTCCACGAAATGAATGAATACTAGAGGAGGCACAAAAGTATACGTTGGGTTGTTTAGTATACAACAGGGTATTTCCCCCGAACTGTAGGTAGGTTAGAGTAGGAGGAGCTGAGGAGGGTCAGGAGAAGCAAGCTGCAGCCCAGCTGCCGTTCCTCTCTGCCTGCAGCACCATGCACATGTGATCTCTGAAGGCAAGGCTGGTAACGTGCTGTCCCAGCACACCTGTACACTGACCTTGACCCAAAGAGTTTCCTCTTTGCAGCAGGACTCAGCATCTTGCCCATTATTGCTAGGTGAAGTACTGATCAAGGATGCCATCATTCTACATCAGTTTAATGGGGCTCACTGTTGTTGTTCCAGGGGTACTGCCATTCAATGTCACTGATTACTGTCAGTTGGTCCGCTATCTCTGTCAAAATGGGCGCTGCATTCCAACTCCTGGGAGCTACCGGTGTGAGTGCAACAAAGGATTCCAGCTGGACCTCCGGGGGGAGTGTATTGGTACGTGATCGATCACTAGACTGCACCAAGAGGCCATTATTGCATGACTGCATTGGCTTATTGCTGCTGTAACAAATTACCTTAATCTCAGTGGCTTAAACACATTCAGATTTTTTTTTCTTTGCCAGTCCTGGGGCTTAAACTCAGGGCCTGGGCACTGTGCGCGAACTTCTTTTGCTTAAGGCTAACATTCTACTACTTGAGCCACAGCACCACTTCCAGCTTTTTCAGTTTATATGGCACTGAGGTATCGAACCCAGGGCTTCATGCACACTAGGTAAGCACTCTACCCTGAAGCCACATTCCCAGCTTCACATTCAGATTTATTATCTTTCAGTTTCATTGGTCTAATACAAGTCTTAATTCGTTTAATTCTAGGTAGTGACATGGCTGTGTTTCTTTTGTGAACTATCAGAAAGAGTGCATTTATTTCCTTGTCTTTCCTAGACTTTTCTAGCTACCAGAAGCCACTTCTAGGCTTCTTCCTTCATCTTCACAGCAAAGTAGCATCTTCAGACCTGTCTCTGATTCTCTCATTTTCTCTTCCCACTCTCTCTTCTGCTTTAAGTGCTTTTGCAATTGCATCAGTCTACTTGTCTAATACAAGAAATGCTTTTTTTCATTTTCAAAAACATTAAAAAGTGAGTGAATATATTTATCCATATTCAGCTCATAATAGAGCCAATGAGTGAAGAGAATAATAATCGTGCTGATGATGATCTGGTATGAACTGGCAATAGAGAAAATTGGTCTAAGGAAGGTAGTGGAACGGTAAGAATTAGCACTGAGGGGCTCCATAATCCTCTGGCACCAGTTCGATGTTTAAGGCCACCTAGTTAGCAATCTTAGTACCGTCTGACACTTGAATTCTTTCTTTATCATGGAGCATATTCCCAGGTTCTACAAACTAGGATAGGAAGTGAATATATTTGGGGGTGCATTCTATGTACCGCAATGACTTTTGTCATTGTAAAATATTTTCAGGGACCTTGCTTGTAACTGTAACCTAAGATATCAAAATCCAGCTTTTAGGGAGGTAAAAGAATCAGGGCCCCAGGGCAAAAAATGGTAAGAGATCCCATTTATAAAATTACCTAACATGGGCTGGGAAAGTGGCTCAGTGGTAGAGTGCTTTGCTTTGCATGCGTGAGGCCCTCAGCACCACATAAGCAGAAAAAAGAAAAAGAAAAAAAATTACCTGAAGTAAAAAGGGCTAGAGGTATGGCTTTAGTGGTAGAGCACTGGCCGAGCAAGCACAAGGCTCTAAATTAAAAAAAGAAAGTGTGATCCAAATCATAAAAGTTTGCACATTTTGCTAATTTAAATGGATCGATTGCCAACTCTATGTAGCTGTTAAAAACTGCAGAAATTTCAGTTTGCTGAAAAGACATTTCAACTAGTGCAGGGAGGAAACATCACACCGTTAGTTGGATGAATCCAAAAATAGTTGCCATTTGCTTTTTTTTTTTTGCCTGTCCCTGAGTTTGTTGTTGTTGTTCAAAACTAGTACTCTACCACTTGAGCCACAGCACCACTTCTGTATTTTTTTTGGTAGTTAATTGAAGATTGTAGTCTTTCTTGCCTGGGCTGGTTTTGAACTGCAAACCTCAGATCTCACCCTTTTGAGTAGCTAGGATTGCAGGTGTGAGCCACCAGTGCCCTACTGCCATTTAACTTTTTTTAAAAACTTAAATTTTATTGTAAAGGTGATATACAGAGGGGTTACTGTTACATAAGTCAAGTAATGAGTACATTTCTTTTTGAAGGGTGTTACCCCCTCCCTCATTTTCTCCCAATTTTCTCCTCCGACCCTCTTTCCCCTCAACTTGTATAGTTCACTTCTAATATATTGTCTAGTAAGTATCACTGCTGAATTGGTTCACCCTTTGTCCCATTTACTTTTTAAATATTACATTTATCTTAGTGCTGGTATAAATTCCAGTTCTATGAATGTAAAATAAGCAGATATGAGTAGTTCCCTCCCTGCCACCCCCTCCCCATTCCACACACACACCCCCACACACCAAGCTGCCAGAGCGCATCTAGAACAAGGTAGAAAACCATGTTGCTCAGGGCTAGGAAATGTGAGGTCAGACCTGCGTCTGCTCCAGAGAGGCCTATGGATAAGGAAGTTATCTTCACTAAGCCTAAGTTTCTCGTGTTAATAAACAGAGCACTGGAAAATAGTTTACCTATACTGATTTTTCTGAACAATGGTAACACTAATGGGACCCCTTACATGGAAGGCAGCTGCGAAGGGTTTGTTCTCTAAGTGAGTTTTAAAGTATAGTCCATTCATGTTTGGGTTAAAGAGGCTTCACAGAACTCATAGGGAACACTTAAGATATGAGTAAACTAACTTCCTTTTTTCCCCATTCGCCCATCCCTCCTTTCCTCCTTCTCTCCCTTCTTCCTTCCCTCCCTCCCTCCTTTCCTTCCTTCCTTCCTTCCTTCCCCTCTCTCTCTCTTTCCTTCCTTCCTTCCTTCCTTCCTTTCCTTCCTTTCTTTCTTCCTTCCTTCCTTCCTTCCTTCCTTCCTTCCTTTCCTTCCTTCCTTCCTTCCTTCCTTCCTTTCTTTCTTTCTTCCTTTCTTTCTTTCTTTCTTTCATTTTTTCTGAGTTGTGGAGCTTGAACTCAGGGCCCAGGTGCTGTCTCTCATCTTTTTCACTCCAGGCAAGCACTCTACCACTTTGAGCCACAGCTCTACTTCTGGTTTTCTCATGGTTAGAGAGAAGAGTCTCATGGACTTTCCTACCTGGGCTAGCTTCAAACCGTGATCCTCAGATTTCAGCCTCTTGAATAGCTAGGATTATAGGTGTGAGCCTTACAGCATCCGCAATAAACTTTCTTTTCGGTGAAAAAGAAAGCTTAAGAGCTTTCAAAGATATTCTGAATCCTGTTGAGAAACCACTTGTGAAATGTTAGTCTGTTTAATTTTCTTAGGCCAGATTCAGGAAAGAGAAAACATTTATTAGCTCAGAGCATTGAGTTGCTATGCACTTGGAATCTTTCTGTGAAAACTGACACTGGAAAATAATATTCTTGAACTACTCCAGCAGTCTTCCAAATGGCTAGAAACACGGCATATTGTGGTAGAACCAGGGGAAAAAAAACTTTCCTTGTGCTATTTATTTTTTAAAAGAAATATGTCTTAGGGGATGGAAAGGCGGCTCAGTGGAAGAGTGCTTGCCTTGTATGCATGAGGCCCTCGGTTCAATTCCTCAGCACCACATAAGCAGAAAAAGCCAGAAGTGGCACTGTGGCTCAAGTGGTAGAGAACTAGCCTTGAGCTGAAGAGCTCAGGGACAGTGACCAGGCCCAGAGTTCAGGCCCCACGACCAACAACAACAGAAAGAAAGAAAGAAAGAAAGAAAGAAAGAAAGAAAGAAAGAAAGAAAGAAAGAAAGAAAGAAAGAAAGAAAGAAAGAAAGAAAGAAAAGACAGAAAGAAGTCTTAAAGTTGAGAAAGTATTAGAATTACAAGCTATGACTAATCTCTTACTGAAACTTACTTTGTGTTACAGATGTTGATGAATGTGAGAAAAACCCTTGTACTGGTGGAGAATGTATTAACACTCAGGGCTCATACACCTGCCACTGCCGAGCTGGCTATCAGAGCACGCTTACCAGGACGGAGTGCCGAGGTATGGTTCTCTTGTGAAATATGAGATATGAATGCCACATGCAATCTTTGCTTTAAAAACCTTCACTGGAGTTTAAATAACCCAGGCCCAATGAAGCTAATGCAATCCTATGTTTATTGTTTTTTATTTTTGGTGTTTTATTTCCAAAATTGTCACTTTGGAGATAATAACATAAAAATCAGACAAGTATTCAAAAAATTATTTTCCAAGAATGAAGGAATGGGGTTGACATCAAACTGAGGCTTATGTGTTAGAGATTGGTGATGATTTACACACCTCTGGCACTAATTTAAGAACATGGCCAGGTTATATTTTATAGATGTGTGCAAATATTATGAAACTCATTAAAAATGTACTGCCCCTCAAAAAACCTCCCCAAAACAACAGTAAGCAGAAAAAAAGAGATCTCTGTTCCAGATTTTTAAGAAATGAGTTAGTGCTAAACATAACCTGAACATTAAAAGTTGTGATCACATTCATGTTATTTGGAAGATAAAAGTCACCACAAAATGGTCCAAAACTTAGCAGACAAAAAGTACATGAGTGAACTAGACAGAAAGGGATAGAAAAGACAGAAGCACAATAAAAGACAACTTTGAATGACAGACTTTTAATTTTCCTGAACAGTAATGAGAATTCCATAGAAATCTGAAACCGGTAAAGAGAGAAAATGATGGACTCAAAATATTATTATTTTTATTTTTTTGAATTAAGCAGAATTTGTTTCCAAGTTCTTCAAAGATTATTACAAACAACTAGTACTTCTCATTGTTGCCACAGGTCCACCTGTATCCTTAAACAACTGGCAAGTATCCCAAAACTAAATGAAAGGCACATCATCCAAGTAAATCCCTTGTGACATGAAGAATTCTTTTAGGTTGTAATATTTTTGCTTTGCTTTGTTTTTAACCATTTGCAATGTTCTGTTTGTAGATCACAATTAAAATTTTTTTTTGGTCCGTTGTGGGCCTTGAATTCTGGGCCTGGGCTCTGTCCTTGAGTTCTTCAGCTCAAGGCAAGTGTTCTACCACTTGAGCCACAGTGCCACTTCCAGTTTTCTGAGTGGTTTATTGGAGATGAGAGTCTCATGGACTTTCCTGCCTGGGCTGGCTTTGTACCAAGATCCTCAGATCTCAGCCTCCTGAGTAGCTAGGATTACAGGCATGAACCACTGGCACCTAGCTAAACCTCTTTTTAAAGACAGAAAATAAGTCGTTTTTTAAAAAGATACCACCACAACTATAAAGTAAAAAAACTTAAGAAGAAAAAGTTTAAATCTTCTTCATGTACAAGATAGGGAAACTAATATACATCATTAACGTTAATCTTTTCAGGTTTGCTAAAATACATCTCCCAAGTTTGTGTTTAAAACAAAACAAATTGCATTCTCATTTTAAAATCTTCTCATGTAAAACAAAAAAGACATCTTTTGGTCAGTAAAGGTGATTTATCCATCTTAATTTTATGCTTTATCTTCATTTAGTAATTGTAAATTCATGAGAAAAGGACAAATTTTATTGGAGTCTAAAAGTCTTAGGAACAAGTTACAAATATTCAAAATAAACAAAAATGTTTTTCTTCCTAAATATAAACATCCAGTAAATAAAAGATACATAATATTCCAGATATAGCAGAAACAAATTCACTTATGAAAGAGGTGTATTTTGGTGTATTTGGCAGTAAGAGTGGTTGTTTGTCTTAATATAAAGGCACTTCAGCAAAAGAACTAGGTTATTATTACTTAGAACTCTACTCCTTCACTCAGTTACCTTATTTGAGTAGGAAAATCATTCATTTCTGTATAACTCTGGCTGTACAACCAAGCCACAGAAAAGATCTTAACAATCGAATCATCACGTGGCTGGAGAAGAGTTATTTTCTTCAGATGTGGAGGCAGATATTCCTCACTGGACTTCTTCTCTACGGTCTTTAAAATAAAGCACAGGACCTGGGTTCCGGGACAGGATCGCTTCCTGCCGAACACCGGGCAGCAGGGCATCCTTGCTGGCGTTCTGTGTATAGTACCATTGAAGTTCTGCAGCTGCTCCCCTCCGCCCTCCTGCTTGAGTTGCTCTACCAGGAGCTACAGGGTGCTCATGCTGGCCCTGGAGGACATGGCGGCCACAGTGGAAGATCTGAGGGTGGTGGAGCCAGGCTGTGGATAGACTCTTTCCTGTTTAATTTTAACCTTGGACCTCAAATATCAGAAAAACCTAAAAAAAAAAAAATCTGCCTAAGAATACTTGGCTTTCTTTTTTTTTTCTTTTCTTTTTTTGGAGTGTAGAGCAAGTCAGATTTTAGCAAGGATTGAGAAATAAAGGAGAGACAAAAACATCGTAGGTTGTTGGCACAAAGATCAGACAGAACAAAAGCCCAGACTGCCTCAGCTAGTTCAATGCCTTGTGTAGAAACCACTGCACAATCTGCCCAGAAAGAGAGTGCGTGCGAGAGGTCAACCACAAGACATGGTGCAGACACAGGGTAGGCAGAAAAACTGATGTGCTCTAAATGCACGTTCTTCTTGTCCAGGGCTGGGCAGGGCTCTTGTTACACTCAAGCAAATGAGGCCTCTGCTCTGCATAGAGGTGTCCTTCCAACAGAATTTGGTTCATCTCCCTATCAACTGGGGATGAATAATGGAGAGGATGACATGCTGTGTAGACAGGGCAATCTGTGTTCATCTGTTTGATGTTCATCCCGTTTGGAGTTTCTAGAATCAAAGGGAAACAGATAACACAGCGTTCCACAGTGTCCACTTTGAGCAGATTATTACTCTTTAAATGGGAGGTGAGAAACAGTTTATGGTCATTTTTAACGTGTCCATAGTTTGCTCTATGGTTTACTTTGACGTAATATTAAACATGATAGATTAAAAAGGGGAATGCCTCCCATACACAATATTTTATTTGGTAGATAGAACACTTCTAAAGTTGTAAAAGTGACTACGAATACGTAAGCATTAAATTTGCACCAGAACTACTATGAGGAAGGTGGATTTTTTTTCAGAGTTGTGTAATTGATGGTTATCAGGGGAATTCAGTAATTTTTTAAATAACCTGTTTGTCTTACTACTCTGATATAGGTATAAGATCTGCCTTTCATATATTGAACGATATCAGCCAAAGTTTAATATAAATAGTGATGTATACTACTTAACAGATTAGCTAGTAAAATGGTGAAGAATCTTTATTATTAGCAGGTTTGAGATATAAGTGATCTTCTAGAAATTAGGTTAGTTTGACTGAGATTATATAGTTCTTTTCCATGTTATTATAGCTTTTAAAAATTATTTTTATTATAAAGGTGTTCTAATTACATAAGTCAGGTAACGAGTACATTTCTTTTTTTGGGGGGGCGTCCGGTCATGGGGCCTGAACTCTGGATCTGGGCGCTGTCCCTCAGCTCTTCAGCTCAAGGCTAGCACTCTACCACTTGAGCCACAGCACCACTTCCGGCTTTTTTCTTTTTGCTTATGGGGTGCTGAGGAATCGAACCCAGGGCCTCATGCATGCAAGGCAAGCACTCTACCACTGAGCCACCTTCCCAGCCCCAAGAGTACATTTCTTTTTGGACAAGGTCACCCCTTCCCTCACTCTCTCCCAGTTTTTCCCTCTTGTCCCCGCCCACACATTGTAAGGTTCATTTTCAACATAATGTCTAGTGAGTACCACTGCTGCATTTATTCACCTGTTTTCCTCTATTTCTGTGTCCCTGCTACATATAGCTTTTGAACACTGATAATCCTACATAACACGTCATTTGGTAATACATTATGTTGAAGAATATTATCAAATAATTACAACCCACGACAAAGGTCATGGGTTTTGAAATAGAGGGAGAAATAAAATAATTGTAACTGCCTTAAATGCAGCTATTTTTTTTTCCTTTTCATCTCTGATCTCAGACATCGATGAGTGTTTGCAGAATGGCCGGATCTGCAATCATGGACGCTGTATCAACACGGACGGGAGTTTCCACTGCGTGTGTAACGCGGGCTTCCACGTAACCCGGGATGGAAAGAACTGTGAAGGTAATGATGGTGCCCTGAAGTCACACCCCTCTTCCCACCACTGTGCCAATACCAGATATTCAGTGAAGCATCACTATACTAAATACATTTCACAGTTTGCTCTCTGGGAGGCACAGAATTTCCCATAAGAGGCATGTGCTGTATTCACATGGGCAAAATCGCATTTTAATATGCTATGGGAGCTTTTCACTTTGAAGTTTCCCAGTAATGTTGAAACTTTTGCAGCCTGATTCATGAGTTTCTGATTTTATGCAATTAAGATTTGTACTAACTTTAGTTTGAACTCAGGTCTCACACTTTTGGGGCAGGTACTTTACCTCTGAGCCATACCTCCTGCCCTTTTCACACTGGTTATTTGGAGATGGGCTCTTGCTTTTTGCCAATATCTGGACTTTGAACCTCTTATTTCATACTTCTTTCCATACCTGAGATGAGAAGCATGAACCACCATGCTCTGCCTCTTCCATTTATAAGAGACAGTCTTACTATTTCATTTTATTTTGTGCCTGAGATTGGCCAGGAGCTATCATCTTCCTGATCTTCCTGAGTAGCTAGGAATACAGACATGAGCCACCTTGCCTGGCTCATTATGGGATTATAAAAACAGGATACCTCTAAACAAATATATTCTCATAATCATTTTGTCCCAAGTGTCTGCCTAAAAATTACATTCACTGATCGGTACCTGGGGATATAAAATTGGGTTGAGAGAAACATCGACTCTTTCAACATTCAGTTGCATTGCCTCTTGTAGTCATCACTTTGTTCCAAATTGAGATACTTCTGCTTTATACCGATATGGTATTTCCTGGACAGGAAATACAGCTAATTGTGGATGAGTTTTCACCTTGCAGACCAGTGAAGAGTGCTCATTATCATGTTTTCCAATGTCTTTGGGAGAGATCCCAAGAATCTATTTATGCATTATAAGAATTTCAAAATTGTTCCTAGAAACATTTTTGGCAGAATATTATCTTAGTGATTCAATTTAAAGACTTGGTGCCAGAATTCCCAGTTGGGTAGAAGCTGTTTTTTTTTTAAGAAAAAAAAAGAAACAAAGGGAAAAGTTATAAATTACTTTTGGTTTGACTAAAGCCTATAAGTGAAAACATATTTACAGAAGCAAATACCCCTCAAGAGGGCTGTAATATTACCTAACGTAGCATTTCAAATTGAAATGCTTATAATCAAGGGATCCTACAGGTTAGTTGGCTTCACTATATTTTATAGTTGAGACTAATATTTTAAAACTCCATTTTTTTTAGCTGAACATAATGGTTGAAACCTTTAAACTTGAGAGGCAGAGATCAGGGTATTAAAATTCAAGGCTAGCCTAACAGCAGCAAAGAAGTTCATAATACTCCATATCCTCCAATGACTAGGTGCGATTGCTCGTGCCTGTCATTCCAGCAATTTGGGGGCACACGAATTAGCTTATCGATGAAGTCCAGGCCAGCTAAGCATGAATCAAAACCCTATCTTAAAAAAGTAACCATTATGAAAAAGGTGCACTATTTAATTGGTAGTGCACCCATCTAGTAAGTTCTAACCTGAATTCAAATGCCAGTACCTAAAAATGCAAAAACAAAATCATTTTTTTCAGCTGGGCATCAGTGGCTCACGTCTGTAATCCTAGCTACTCAGGAGGCATCACAGTTCAAAGCTAGCCCAGGCAAAAAAGCCTGTGAGACTCCTATCTCCAATAAACCACCAGAAGGGTCTGGGAAGGTGGCTCAGTGGTAGAGCACTTGCCTTGCATGCATGACGCCCTGGGTTCGATTCCTCAGCACCACATAAGCAGAAAAAGCGGAAGTGGCACTGTGGCTCAAGTGGTAGAACACTAGCCTTGAGCTGAAGAGCTAAGGGACAGTGCCCAGGCCCAGAGCTCAGGCCCAGTGACCGACAAAAAACAAAAAAATAAACCACCAGAAAACCGAAAATGGTGTTATGGCTCAAGTGGTAGCGCGCTAATCTTGAGCTGAAGAGCTAAGGGACAGTGCCCAGGCCCAGAGTTCAAGCCCCACGACCAACCAAAAAAAAAGTCATTTTTTTTTACCCCTAAGATTTCTTCAAATTACAAGCTGTCTTCTGATGTCCACTTTTAAAGAACCCAAACATAACTTAAATATAATTCAAGCCTCATTTGTCTTGGTTTTTGCCTCTACTTTCCATGTGTTAGAGGAAATTTGAGTCTGTAATAGAAATATGCCCACCAGGCTATTAACACACATTTCAGTTTGTCAACTATTCCCACAACAATGCTGCTAACTTCCACTAAATCAGATTGAACTTGAGATACCTCTCTCAGTATGATACAATTTGAATGAAGATTAGCATTAGGCTATCATAATGGAAAAAAGCAGAAATAAGAAATGAAATTATAGTCATCCAGGCTGGCTTTCTTTGTACACTCTTCTGACTGTGAAAAGATGCTCTTAAATCCCTTTGAACAATAAGCATACGCTAAAAATAATCACAGGAGTATGAAACAGTTCCTGTCCTGGAATGGGTACTAGTTGGAAGGGGGAGGGTGAAAAGAGAGGCCGAAGGAAGTGAAAACGGTCAAAGTACTGTGTGTGGAAATGGAACCATGAAGCTTGTTGAGATTGTTCTGGGAAGGGGGGGAAGGAGGCAGAGGGAGAGCCATGGAGAGGGTGAGCATGCTCAAGGTACGTGGTACGCACATAGCGACGTCACATGAAGCCCTTTGTACAACTGATGTATGCTAACAGAAATGTGTAAAAATCATTTTCTTTTTCAGATATGGATGAATGCAGCATAAGAAACATGTGCCTGAATGGGATGTGCATCAACGAAGACGGTAGTTTTAAGTGTATTTGCAAACCTGGATTCCAGCTTGCATCAGATGGGCGCTACTGCAAGGGTACGTGCTTGAAAACAGTCACGGGGGCTTTATCAGCTTGTCCTCCTGTGTTCTTGAGAGTTACACCTTCCCTAAGGAGTCTCTCCATTTCTAGCCCTTCAAATTCTGGTTTAGGAAACCTGGCTAGAACCCCTTCTTCTGTCTAGTCATCTAAAGAACTTCAGTTTATGACCAGATAGATATCTTATTTCAGAAAAGGCATCTTCTCAGTACTGGGGATTGTAGCAAGTGTACCACTTGAGCCAACTCTCTGTAGACGCTATTGGCAGTAATACCTTCCTCATTATTTCCTTTAGCTATCTTAAGAAACAAAACGTTTTTTTTTCGTGGTCAGTTTATTTAGGTTTTATCAAATTACTTCGCAAAGAAAACAGGAAACAGGATTGAGCGGAAGATATAAACAAACCAAGAGCTTGATAACTTTTGGAATAATCTCATTGCTCCAGATGGGAAACTGAGTTTTATTGTGCTGTTAGAGGCTTAAAAAGAGTTGTTGGGGATAAATGTGTGCTTAGCCTCCTGCTTTTATAGGAAGGATGAGGAATTACTACACTTGGACCTAAGATCTGAGCTGAAGTCAGACTTCCCAGGAACCTTACACTCGAACTAGGGCCAGAATATCTGGTTGGAAGACTGTGCTCAGAGCCTCTGTTCTTGGCTTGAGTTGTAGAAGTAGAGTCTGTCAAGCTGCTTAAGGTTGAGAAAGCAAGGGACAGTCCTATGATGCCTCTTCCCTGATTGTCTCTTGAGGGACAGGGACCCTTAAGGTAAAAGTTGTGTAGAAGAAAGCCTTCTATGTGTAAGTCCTTGGCAAGACACGTTCTTGGAGAATCCAGACGTTAAAAGAGGTCTAGCCCTTGGTTATTTACTCACATTCTCTATGACCTTCACACCAATGGCTCTTGATATTGTGGAAATCTGCTTTCACTGCAAGAAAGAACAATTGGGGTTTTCAAAATTTCAAGAGAGGAAAGTGATTCCTGTCCTTCTGAGCTTGATACTTGGGAGGACCTGGAAATCCTCTACGCTGTGAGATGGCCCTGAATTAAAGTGTCACATGGTACAGATGAAGTGCTGTACAAGTTAAAAGGGAAAGGGGAAGGCCATGGTGGCTGGAATATTTAGAATGAGGCTTCCAAACAAAATAATGGAAGGAAATGTGAAAGCCCCTTTTGTGAGCAGGACTTCTACGAGAGAACCCCCGCCCTGCTTGCCAACCTGCACAGCTCTCTGGGATTTGCCCGTAGTACCCGTAGGCTGCAGACAACCCAGGTGGCAGTTTTCAGCATGAAGTGTATCCAGTCCATCCGCTGCCTCAGTGATGTTATGAATCAGTGAAACGAGGTTCTGCATCCAGCTGCAGCCAGAGAAGTAGTGGCCTGTCGAGAGTTTTCCCACTTGTTTCAAATTACTGATATTTGCTAGGATTAGCTTAGCATTCTGTTTTAAGGGAGGGAGAAGGGAAAAGAAAAGAGAGGAGGAGAAGTGAAGAAAGAGAGAGAAGACTGGAAGAATAGGATGAAAGGAGAGCTCCTTCATAGTTCCCTCCATCCCATATTAGTACCTTTGTCTTACTTACTCTGGGGTATAGAGCACAGATACAGGCTGTGGGACAAGATTTTCCCTTTGTACTGAATACTTAGGAGCCTACAAAGTTATGACTGTTGAAAGCTGAATGCCCAGTGCTAATTTAATCTCTATAGTTAACTAGTCTGATGGACCACAGGGCTGTGGCCTCTTTGATCCCTTTCTAGAAGCTGAAGGCACTGACTTTGAGCCATCTGTATCCTACCTATTCAACCTAAAGTCCTTGTCCCCATTAAGAAGCCTTTGTGGTGCTTTGCAGTCTGTAGTCTCCAATGTTTTACTCTAGGTCTCAACTTGCACAAGAAGCTAGCCGAAACAACTGAATCAATCTGAGGGTTCACATACTGAAATACCACTGCTGTTTTAAATACAATCTGTACACGGGTTGTACCGATCTTGGACCATCTGACTATGTTTTGTGCCAAACAATACAAGCTAAGTTAAACATGGAGGTGTTTTGCTCTCCGTTTGCCTTTTTAAAGTCAGAAAAAAAGGAAATAGTCATATACTCTAGTTATATATTGTAAAAAGAGTTGTTATAAAGTGACTTGCTTCTAAGTGTTTTCCAAAACATGATTTTGGTACCTTTTCTACTTCCCCTCATGAAGGGGGAAAACTCTGTACTATTACTTATATAAATCCAATAAAGTCTTTTACCAGATTTTTCTAAGTAGATGCCCACAGTAATGTAAAATACTTGAAATGTTCAGGGAAGACTTTTCTTTGCTGGATTCCAAAGGCTTACAGTATTATTAGCCAAATGTGGTCATCAAAGTCATCTATATTTATTTTCTGTTCTTTTTCTATGATGTCCCTTCAGTGTCTTTAATGGTACAACTCTTTTTTTTATTGTGAAAATACTGTACAGAGGGGTTACAATTACATGGGCAAGATAGTGAGTACATTTAATGGTACAACTCTTAATGTTAGGCTCATTGTCCCAAAGGTCTCAGACAAAAGTGACGCTAGGAGAGATACCAGCCTGGTTGTCAAATGACAAAGGGAAAAGCATCCTGCCTAGGTGGAAAATTTCATTTCTTATCAACTGGATTTCTGGCACTGTCTCCATGTAATGTGTTAGACACAACCCTGTGTCTCTTGCCCATTGATTTCCTTCTTCCTCCAATTCTCTTCTAGCCTTCGAGATTCTTATTTTAGATTAAAAAAAAAAAGATTTCGTTGGAGAAAACTATTAAAGAAACTTTTACTGGAAACGTAATAAGCTCCAACCATTGTTTTCTGTCTGTTCTGTTCTTTCATAGGCCACCGGGAATGCATATTCCTCAGCTTTTTGTTGTTGAGACATTGCATAGGATTTTCCATCTTCTCCAGTTTCAGTGTTCTATAAGGGCAAACAAGTTATAGCTTTCGATAAAAGACACCTTATTTAAAATAAGACCCTCTTCCTATCACAGATATTAACGAGTGTGAAACACCTGGGATCTGCATGAACGGGCGCTGCGTGAACACGGACGGCTCCTACAGGTGTGAATGCTTCCCTGGCCTGGCCGTGGGTCTGGATGGACGCGTGTGTGTGGGTAAGGAAATGGCATTCATGGCTTGGTTTATGATGGAGAAGCATCTGGTGGCCATGAGCAAAGCCCACTAATAACAAAGATGCTTTACCATAGCAGACAGGAAATAATGGATATCTGCAGAGTCAAAATCCAACAGGCTTTTCTTGAATGAATAGAATTTAAGTTTGGGGATAAAGGAAAGCCAGAAATCCCTTATTTCCCCATCTCCCCTTTACTTTCTAAATCCATATGTGTACCCAATATTCTTTTGTTGATAATGGTCTTTGAAATTGGCCTATATATGAGCTCACTAGCTCATGGTGAACCTTCTCATGGAGAAGTAAATTTCCAAAGGAAGTGCAGAATGCAAAGGCAAATACGGGTAATCCAGAAACATACGCAGTAATAATAGTTTTACATGGCCTAATAAGAAGTCTGAAAGTTGTTGAGAAATTGGTACAAATTTTATCCACATAATTTGAAAGAAAGGTGTTGAATAAACCCTTTGGTTTGGGAAAGGATTGGGCCTAGCTGGAAACTCCCTCCCTGGTAGTAAAGGTAATGTGTCTTAGTTGACCTACATCTACAGATTCATATAATGAGCCTTTTACAGATTAAACTTCCTCCTTTTGGAAAGTACACCTAATTTAGACCTTCAATAATTGCATGTTTATTTTGGGGTAGCCACATTTCTAATAAAGGTCTTATTTATCAGAGTGGGAACTTCAGGATTCATTCAACACTTATTAAGTGCCCGCTCTATGTGTATCTGGGGAAGTAGAAAATGAATGAGATAGAATCCCAGCACTTAAGAGCCTCATAATTTGGTAAGCCATGGTAATCCCTAGAAAACTGCAAGGCTAGCTACTAGTTTTCACCGCTTAGAAGACCAGTGTGGTTTGGTGTTTTGCTTTATTATTATTATTAAAGTATCAAGTCCCAATACCAGAGACCTTCTTTGTGAGTTAAGAACAGAGATAATGGAGAAATGAAGGCAGCTTCAAATTTGACCTGGTAGGTTCTCATGTGTTTAAAGCAACAGTGTGATGATGTGTGCTTTTTCCTGTTTAGACACCCATATGCGGAGCACTTGTTATGGGGGATACAAGAGAGGCCAGTGTGTCAAACCCCTGTTTGGTGCTGTTACCAAATCTGAATGCTGTTGTGCCAGTACCGAGTATGCCTTTGGAGAACCATGCCAGCCATGCCCTGCCCAGAACTCAGGTACGTGATATTGCAGAGGGTATCACTTCTCTGAAACCACGCGCAATCTTTGCATTTAGACAAGTCACCGAAAAAGGTTACACTGTGCTACATCCTGTACCTTCCCTGGGGTCTTGGGAGGGGCTAGGCTGTGGCTAGTCATGTGTTACTCAGTCCTCAGTCATTGGTGATTGGTGATCTGCAGTACATTTGTGTGTCTTTTTATTTTTATTTTTTTTATGAATTCCTCTACCTCAGTAGTCTTCTGCTCTGTGAGATGCCTGCAGCTTCACGAGTTGGCCTTTTGCAGGCGCCGACTGTTAGAAAAGCAGAACTTTATACAGCATAAAAGTAAATAATTTTTAGCCTACCTGAATATTTCCAACAGTTTCCCAGAAGGCCACTTGTGAATTTTGTTCCCATCCCACATGTTGATTTTGGTGTGCTTTTCTTAAATGGTTTTATTCAACCTTAGGGAAAAAGTATTTTTCTGCAGTTGAGGTGACATGGCCCAGTGAAAACAGACGTAGACACTGGCTGAGAGTCTACTCTCTGCATCATAAACAGATTACTTTTTTTTGGGTGGGGGGTAAGTTATTTGTGCTTTTATTCTTGGCTCATTTAAGAATTTGAGATGACTTAGTTACATTAATAAAAATAATCATAAAATCAAAAAATATGAAAAAAGGATCCTCGGCCTTGTGATCTACAAAATGAATCATCTTAGCTAATACAGAAGGCCCTGGGCACTGTAACCTATCTCTATTTGAAAAGCACCAGGAATTTATTGAAATTAAGACAAGATATTGTCACTCCTTGAGCATAATTTTGAGGAAGCTTGGCAGTTAGCTTGTAATGTCTTATCCTAAAATAAACTGAGGCTTAATATTGGGGAAAAAAATGTAGTTTTGTGGGCTGGTTCATGTATCCGATTCAGTTTATTCATTTTTGCCTTAAATGATTTTATTTTTAAGACTTGTTGTTTTTAATATGATAATGTTTGAGATTACAGAGTTAGAAATTAAAATATTATGAAAAACTAGATAAAGTTGAAGGGAAGGCTAAAAGAAATAAGGAATGCCAGTGAAAAGCAAAAACTTAAGCATGTTAGAGGAGGTGAATTTGATCAAAGTACCTTATTAGAGAAATCTCACAGAGGAACAATTAAGTTATCCAATTAATTTAAGAAAACGCTTTATTCTGGCTGATTACTTTTTCCTGTTAAATAATATACAAATGATCATTTTATCATGTATACATGATCATCAACCAGTTAAAATACTTGTGTAATATACTTTGAATGTATAGAAAGTAAAAAAGTTCCATGAAACTATTATTATTATCAAAGTTTTATGGTGTGATGTTCACTTTCTCAGAGTAATTTTCTAACATTCTAAATGTACAGACAGATGAGAATCATGAAAGATGCTCATGAAAGATACTCACATGTTGAGGAAGGGGAAAGTTAAGGCTTGGAATCCAGGAAATGCAAAGTCTATCATTTTTTGCAAAACGTCTTCCCCTGAATGATATGTATCTCCAAATAATTCTTACCATAGATAAGAAAAATGATAGGTTAGGAAAAGAGGACCAGAGGAAACCTGATTTGTTTAAGCAGTGAAGAAATGACGGCTGGTAGGTGAAAAATGCTAAATCCTGGAGATCCCCAATCAGAGTAGCTCTCATTTCAGGAGAGTTGGCATTTTGAATATCAACAGACAATATCCACCATAGTATTTTAGCCAGCTAAGTGACATACAACAGCCATGCAGCCTCTGAAGTTCATCTTTTGTTCTGCAAGTGTAGCAACTTGCATATGGAGTCATTTCCCACTGGTGATAAAAACAAGTTTACATTGTTCACTTACAGTCTTCCCTTCAGCTTTATGTTGCTTTTCATATCAACTTCATCAAGCTTTTCAGCTTTCAGAGAAGAAACTAAGGGTCAGTGACCAGGCCCTGAGTTTAAGCACCAGGACGGACATACACACACACGCACACACACACACACACACACACGTATGAGCGCACACACACACACATACTTGAACACATGCCTGTGTTCTTGTGAGGAAAATCTGGAGAATTTGCAGAGAAATGAAAAGATGTCAAGAACCGATTATACTGAAAAAAAAAAACCAAAAAACAAGAAACAGCACTAAGGGGGGAAAAATAGTATTCCCAAGATGGTGGGAGCAAATTTTATTAACAGTTAAGAAACCACATGTTAACAGGCACGTTTTACCGTAAGTGTAAAGTGCTCCCAAGTGAACAAAATCAACTCGTAGGAAAAATCTCTTTTCTGAAAGTGCTTTTGCACAAGGAATCACTCGAACTCGCTCGTATCCTTCAATTTCCTCAGTGATATGGAGCCTTTAGAGTGAGAGCCTTGATATCAAGATGACTCCACCAGGAGATAGCTCCTTTTCCTTAGCCTCTTTACCTCAGTTCTTCTCACTTGTGAGGCAATGATGTGTGCAAAGCCAAGGGCAGGATCAACCCGTTCTGCAGACAAGGGAATCATTTACTATCTGTTCATTTATTGCAGCGGAATACCAGGCTCTCTGCAGCAGTGGGCCAGGAATGACGTCAGCGGGCACCGGTAAGGAGTCCTTGCAAAACTTTACTACCTTAAGCATGTGCAGAGGCAGCATTGGGCTTTCCGGTGCTTTCCATTGGGCTTTCTGGTTGATCTGTTGATGCCAGGCTAAGCCTGGTCTTTCTCTGGCAACCACCTCATGATGTCTCTGGGAGTCATACAAGTTCCTGTAACCATCACTGGGGCATGATGGGCCCTGGGATTGCTGGCTGTGGGGGAGGGGCTTGCTAGCTGAAGGGACTAGGATCTCTCCACAGGGGATTGAAGGGGGACTGCGGATGATCCATAATGACTATGGTTGCTCATTCTGAAGAAGGGGTAGTTGGGCTTTCAGGAATATGGGATGATTGAACTGTTATCTATTCCTAATCTATAAGATTTCTGAACTGTCAAAGGCTCCAATCATTACAAGATGACAGTAGAGGGTCTTTTTTTTAAATTTTTTTGCGCCAATCACAACAGCAAGTAGATTGGAAAATAATAGGTGATTTGTGTAGGAGGTAGAACCAGAGAAATATTGGGGTCAAGACAAATGGCAAAAGGGAGAATTCAAATAAAGATCAATATTGAGGGAGAGGGATCAGGAAGGAAAAACAGAGAAAACGAGGGAAGAGGTGACACTGTTCAAAAAGAAATATACTCAATACCGGAGTTATGTAACTGTAGCCCCTCTATACATCACTTTTACAATAATTTTTTTAAATAAAGGTAACCACAGATGAGATGAAAGAAGAAGGGATTTTCTTCTGAATATAAACAAACATAATTTGACAAGAGAGTTTTAAAAACAAAGTGGACTGGCTAAATGGATTTGTCAGTTCATTCAGCATGATTAATTTTATCATTATGTCTGGATAAGATGGGAAGAGAAGGAAAGAAGGGAAAGTAGTGAGTTCGTGGGGAATAAACTAGTTTTGCTAAGGGACTTGGAGATAAAAAAAAAAAAATGTCTGCAAGAGTCCGGTGGCGGATTTGAGACAATCCAGTCACCACTGACACTGCATCCCTCATCCACCACTTAATCTCCCCTAAGTCTGTCAGGGCACAGAGGGAGGAGGAGGACTCGGCCTCCTGAGGGTGGAGAAGGGACGCAAAAGCGGTGGGCCTGGTTTGGGTTCGATAAGAACAACTACACACAGAGTGCTCCACACACGGTGAATGGGAGAGTGAGAAGTTTGGACCCAATGAACAAGAGGATTGCTGTTTTAATCTTGAGGATGTTGCTGACTCTACAAAAGTTTGAACCATGCACAAGACATAATCACCTTGGCTTCAGGAGGTTAAAAATGGTGACAGAATGGAAGGCAGGTGGAAATAAGGCAGCTGGAGGTAGGGAGACTAGTGGTAGGGACTTGGACTTTATAGTTGATTCAGATTTCTGTCCTGGGAATTAGGCCAGGAGATGTCCAAAGTATCTTCTTCAGCTTGACTCTAAGAACTATAGTTCCAACCTAGATGACAAGTTCCTCTCAGGGACTGGTAGAAGTAAGATTTGACTCAGAATATCCTCCAGTAAGAAAAAAAGAGTTTCCCTTCCAAATGAAACTTCTTTCCTTGACCCAAGGATATCCTAAGGTCATTCCATGTATTGTATTGTACAAAACAAACAAAAAAACAATTGTTTGTTTTTAAACAATTCATTAGCTGTTTATTTTAGAATGTGATTGATTGTTAACCTTTTTGGTTATGCAGATATAAATGAATGTGCATTAGATCCTGACATTTGCCCAAATGGAATCTGTGAAAATCTCCGGGGGACCTACAAATGTGTATGCAATTCCGGATATGAAGTGGATATAACTGGGAAAAACTGTGTTGGTAAGAAGTTCCACCTGTTTTCTAAGACGTTTCATGCACCATACATTCGTTTCCATGTTTCTTGGAAGAGGATGCTCTTCACTAGTTTATAGGACTGAGCCAAAGAATGCTTAAGACTTAGAACATCAGCACTACATATGCATGTATGGATAGACAAATACTTTCGTAACTGAATCTTGACCGTTTGTGATTGGGGCTGTAACAGATGCACTCTATAAAAGAGAAGTTTCTTAGATCTATAAAAGTCTCAGAATGATACTCTGCTTCATTCTCATGTGGCCTGAAAGTAATCCCTATTTTTCACTGAGAAAAGCAGTTCTGTTCCCAACTACTTATTTGATTCAATCAGAGAAAACACAACTTACTTTCAGTAATAACAACTTTCTGTTAAGTTTAACAAACACCATTTTTTGTGTTTTAACAATTCTTAATGAAGATACCAGTCAGTAATTAACTCCATCATTTGAATGAGAAGACACTGGTCACTACAAGACATTATTTTGTTTTCTCCAACATTCTCTATTTGTCTGCACAGAACCAGTATTCTCTAATAGTCTGTAGGTTTCCTGAAGTTGGGCTTTCACAATCCATATTCAAAACTAATTATTTATGGGACTATGCCAAGAAGTGCCAAAACTAAACATAAGATGATACATCTTTTTGATTTGGAGGCCAAACATATTTTATGTATAAGCAAATACTTATGTGGGATAGGGTAATATTTTAAGAAAGTTTAAGATAAACTTGGAGACCCCAACTGTATTTGTACTGAGCATATTTTATTCTATTTAATACTCTTGGAGATTACCACTAGTGGTATCTTAGAAGCAATGTTTGAAAAACGCTGGCCTAAGAAAGTGGACTATTTGGCATATAGAAGTGTGCAGATATATTGTAGATAAACACCGAGTCCTTCTTTTCATACTTTCAGTACAACACATAGTCTCATATAGTTTCGCAAATACCTATGACTTGTGGACTCTCCTACCTGCCATCCAGTATCAGATGGCCCTTGTGTGTTCTGGCCCAGGAGAAGAAATTCCCTACATATCTTTGTCCCTGGGCATCAAACGTTGATTTATTATGTCCTTTCTTTACCACTAAGGACTCTTGGGGGAAGTATTAGCATTCCTTATTCTCAGCATATTCTTACTCAACAATAGTATAACATCATACTCAAGTTTCCCTATTTTACAAATGTGTTGCAGATTTAAGTCTATTTACTGTTGTGAACCATGTAATTCCCCAGGACTAATTTTTTTATGTTAAGGGATATAAAACTTGACGCATGATTGTCTAATCAGACTCTGTCAATGTGCACAAAAAGAATTCCTTGTGGATAACTAGCTTGTTCCATAGGGCTCTGGGATGTAATTTATCTCAAAAGGGTTATAAAAAGCTGCATAATATCTTCATTTCCTGAATTATCTACACAGTTCAGACCTCAAATTGATTTTTCTCTTTAGAAAACCATATTATTCATCTGAAAGCAAGGATTTTTCCTCAGCTCTCTGAATTGCAAGTCTCAATTCTCCATGGCAGTTATAAACATAACAGATTGCTTCATACTTTGTAAATATAACTGGAGATGGTTGGAATTATTTGTGGAGGAAATACCCATGCTGGAACTAACACTTATCAAAAATGAATCACATTTTTTCCCCTAAATATTTATCCAGTTCCCTAAATCAATAAAATTAGTCTTATTTTTGACACAGTGAAGCGGTTATTCCAAGTTACAGATCAATGATTTCCAGAAAACCCAAGTTTTCTTCCTGTTGAAAGAGAAGTAAATTAAATAATGACTAGCAATTTAAAGCTTCACAAATACCTTGTTTAGGTAACGGCATTGAGCTCCTGGTTTGCTAAAATGAGGTACGATTGGCAAATCCAGTGGTATAAGAGTTACATCTCTGTAGTGGAACTAATTATACCGTTAGACTTTAAAGATCTGCCCTAAAAGAACAAAGAAATGCAATCGGATAGTTGGATTCTTATTCTCATTGTCATTGGCTTTCCAGATATTAATGAATGTGTCCTGAACAGTCTACTCTGTGACAATGGACAATGTAGAAACACTCCCGGAAGTTTTGTCTGCACCTGCCCCAAAGGATTCATATACAAACCTGACCTAAAAACATGTGAAGGTAAGCCATATTTCTCTTCTTGTACTATCTTTTGGGATGCCATTATAAACCATGAGGATAAGTTAGATAATCATGCCAATTTAGCTGAGATTCTGTGGTTCGAAAGGGCACTTACACCAACTTTGCATGCAAGTGGTGTCTCATTTGCCACTGAAGGGCAAAATTTGAAAGTATTCATTTTTGTCTTTGCCTTCAACTGGTATTTTAATTGCTATGCTAATAGATGAAGAAAAGAGTGTGTACAGTCAGATCGAATTCATGCTTTGGGAATCACATATACATTGGCTCCAGATTTCCCGAATAAAAAGATCCAAACCAGTGGATTATATAGTATGGAGATGAGCTCACTTACAACTTTGGCTTTCCATGCAGTTTAGAAAAAGCTATTTAGTTTGGTTTTATTATCTAAGAATATGTGCTAACAAATGAAGCAATGATAACAATTGAAGTAATCTCTTCTCTTTCTCCTTATTGAAGTTAATGCAGCTCTGTCTTCATTTCAGACATTGATGAATGTGAATCTAATCCTTGCATTAATGGAGTGTGTAAAAACAGCCCTGGCTCTTTCATTTGTGAATGTTCTCCTGAAAGTACCTTGGATCCAACAAAAACCATCTGCATAGGTATTTATCTTTCCAAGAGTGATTTTTTTTCCCCTGTGGTTATCAATGCTGCTGCATTCTGAGCTTTTACTACCAAAAAATAAAAGTATGAATGTGGCATCAAAAACAGTGATCATCCTTTGTTTTATGCATTCCTGTGAGCCTATGTCCAAGTTTGAATTTTTGATATAGATTCTGCTAACTATGCATGAAGTACTCCCCTTATCTTTTCCTTGCAGAAACCATCAAGGGCACTTGCTGGCAGACTGTCATTGATGGGCGGTGTGAGATCAACATCAACGGAGCCACCTTGAAGTCCCAGTGCTGCTCTTCCCTTGGCGCTGCCTGGGGTAGCCCCTGCACCATATGCCAAGTTGGTAAGAGAAATCGGGCTCTGACTTGGCACAGATGGGGAAGCCCACTGCTTTATCTACTTAAGGTTACATGAGAGTCTCTGGTGACCTCAGTGGAACATAGTCCTGAATGGGAAAGAAGGGAAATGTCGTGGGCAATACTTTTGCGTGATTTGGTTAATTTGTTCTTTCCTTTCTCTGCCTGGTAACGTGGTTAGATCGGGTTGCTTCCTTGAAGCACCATTTTCTTCGGGCTGTCTTGGAAACCTCGTGGCTATAAGCCTTGAGTTGATTTTTGTTGTTGTTTGCTTTGTTTTTTAGTTTTTTGTCGGTTGTGGGGCTTGAACTCTTGGCCTAGGTGCTGTCCCTGAGCTCTTCAGCTCAAGGCAAGCACTCTATTACTTGAGCCACAGCACCACTTCCCGTTCTCTGGTGGTTTATTGGAGATAAGAGTCTCACGGACTTTCCTGCCTGGGCTGGCTTTGAACCGCGATCCTCAGATCTCAGCCTCCTGCTGAGTAGCTAGGATTACAGGCGTAACCCACCAACACCTGGCTTTGTTTTGCTTTTAGTTTTTAAATAGGTTCAGCGTTTTTTTCCAAAAAAGATAATTGATATAAAGAAACCAGTATTCATGACTAAACTTCATGAGGGTTTCTGGTGAACTTCTGAATCTTGGGGGGAAGCTGAGGGTTGAGAGCTTGACCCACTGTTTGCTGATTCTATGTTTGAGTGTATAAATTATGAATCTATGTAGTGTGAATACTTCAGGGCTGGAAGATCTCCTGGTTCTAAGCTGTATTCTCCCCATTCATTTCCCAGTAGTCCCATAATGTCATTCCTGTCTTCAGGCTAATAGCAAAAAAGGAAATCTGCATTCTGTTTCCTGCCTGTTACCATCACAGAATGCAATTTTATGTCTATGGAGATGTCTTAGGGGAATTGAGCTTTATTCAAGGAGACATCTCATTACTATTCTTCCTTACCTCTATAATCTCAGAAATACTTTATTATGCACATTCCTGACAACAAAACTCCATTCATGTGCTCGCTCCTCTTTCACGACTACGAAGTCTGGATATTGTTATATTTTTTTTCCTATTTTTTATTTCTACAGACCCCGTATGTGGTAAAGGATTCTCAAGAATTAAGGGGACACAGTGTGAAGGTATTTCTCATTATGTATAAATCATAATTTGTGTGTATGAGCAATGCTTGTGTTCACTTAAACTGGAGAAAGGGGTCATGTAACTGCGATGAAGTAGAAGGAAAAAAATAATGAGAACTGAGAGCAGATGTTAATGTCACAGGCATGTAGAATGTTGTCCGCGCCAGTGCCTGATCACTGTGGGCAAAAAATGTTTTCAGACTGACCATCACTCTCTGAAGATGCTACCTGTCGGGAAGGTTTTTGGCACGACTATAAAACTTGCACTTTTCTTAGTTTGCCCTGTGTTTGTTTTTTGTTTGTTTGTTTGTTTCATGGTCATGGGTAATTTAGAAGGACATAGTCTACTGCGTCTTTTTTTGAAGGTCTACTGGATTTTCTCCAGATTGCTGTGACTCTTTCTCACAGAGTCCAAGATAGATATAGGTCATGGTGACTAATGCAACCTGACATGACACAGCAGCTGAAATATTTTAAAAACAGCAATTAGTCCCATATGTGGGATGAAATGAAGTTCTTTTTTCCCCCCCTGTTAAAACAAAGAAGAACAGTACAACCCCCACCCAAAGTCTTTCTTTCCAAATGATGACTGAATCCTTTGGCTCTTTTTTTCTGGTCCAGACTCACTGTTAATAACTTATCTGAGCTTAGGAGCACATTTTGGTATGCCAGTGGCCAGAATAATGGCAACAACAACAGAAAAAAAAAACAACCATTTTTTTCCCCTAAAAATGTAGATTTTATCCATTCCCCATTTAGTTCTACTCCAAAAAAAGGTACAGAATTTTTGTTTTAACATCCCTGGCTTTGAAAGTCATTGCTTTGAAATAGAGACATGGTTGTGTATGCATCTTACCTAAGGCTCCCTCCTTTTTGGAACTGGCAATTACGTGCTTCTCTTTGGATTAACTTGATCATGAATATTTTTCCAAATTAAGCACAGAGTACATACTGTGCCCTCCATGAAGCAAACCAGGAAGGACGGGTACGTTGGAGGGAGATTGAATGAATGATGACTGGGTGAGCCTGGTCATTTTTTTTTTTTTTTTTGGCTTTGTAACTCAAGAAGGGACCATCACAGGGGCTCACCGGCCAACCTGAGACCATTGCCGGCTTACACCTAGCTATACATTTGCAGGGTGGAGGGCTTCTCAATATTTCTTCACTCTCAATCAGCCTTCCTATTACTAAACACAATTTTTGCTTTATCTTCAAGCTGTTTCTTTGCCAGTTGGGGGCGGGGGAAACCAGGTTTCTGTTTCTCTATTTAGTTCCTATTTTTCTATTATTTCTCTATTTTCAGATATCCGACCTCTTAAAGCTAATTATCTGCTCCCTGCAAATTTCTCCTGAGTTGTTCACAGCCATGAGAGCTATTGTTAAGAACCTATTCCCTGTCTCTAAGACTCCAGTGTTATCTCCCTGAAACTGACGGAGAAACTCTCCTATCTTTATTAACAGGTGGGGTCAGTTGTGATTCAGTTGCCCCCGAATGCTACTATTCCTAGCTGAAGCAAGCTAGATATTTGAACTTACCTAGTTGAGAATGACCTTTTCTGTGGTGAGAATGATTAGGAATCTACAACTGGAAAAAGGTAGGATGATCTTAAACAAATGTGGAACTTCATTTTTTTTTCCTTTTTAGATATTGACGAATGCGAAGTGTTTCCAGGAGTGTGCAAAAATGGCCTGTGTGTCAACACCAGGGGCTCATTCAAATGTCAGTGTCCCAATGGAATGACTCTGGATGCCACAGGAAGGATCTGCCTTGGTAAATACGGAACTCATTTTTACCCCCGTCATGACCGTTTCTTAAGTATGGTTACAAATTTAGTTAACCAGAAACAACTGGACATGTGGTTCCAAGTTCAGACGGACTTTGTTCCGGACTCCCCCGTTCCACCTCTCCGAAAATGAAGTGGGTCTGAGAAAGTGGTGACTGAACTAACTCAGATGTGTTTCCACAACACGCTGCAGTTTGCTCTTCTCTAGAGAGGAGAGTCCCAGGCATGCTGCAGAGCACAAGGAGAAAGCATCACCAAGGAGCATCATGGGAGTTCTCAGATTACTCTTCCTGCCAGAGAAGTATCAGAACCACCTGAAGTTATCAGGGAGCCTTTCACCAATACGCGCTCGTGTTCTTGCTTAGGCGAGACTGCCCACTGTACATACCCTATCTGTCTTCAATGAATTCCAGTCCTTATGTAGGTAGCAAGGTAGCAAGTGTGCTTTACTTTATCAAGCACAAGTTGGCCATTTGAGGCAGTGAAAGGGAATACCTGTGCTCACCTCCTTCCCCTCTCCTCTGGCAGATATCCGCCTGGAAACCTGCTTCCTGAGGTACGACGATGAGGAGTGTACTCTCCCCATTGCGGGCCGCCACCGCATGGATGCCTGCTGCTGTTCCGTGGGGGCCGCCTGGGGGACTGAAGAATGTGAGGAGTGTCCTGTGAGAAACACCCCAGAGTACGAGGAGCTCTGCCCCAGAGGACCTGGCTTTGCCACAAAAGACATTACCAATGGCAAACCTTTCTTCAAAGGTACCGGTGTTTTCAGTGCTTGATTAGCTGACTTCTCCTGAGCCCGTAGACATCGAATACCATCCACTTGCTCACCCTTCATTTTTGGCTTTCTGAATTCTATAACAGTGAACTGTTACACACACACACACACACATATACACACACACTCGCACGTGTACACACACACACACCTCAAAACATACTGAAGGTCTTGACCTCCCAATCTAAACATCAAATTGGTAACATTTATCTTAGTACTAGCCTAAGCCAGAAATAAAGGTAGCCCTTTGGGAAGATTGAATACCGTCTGTCAAAGACAGGTGACCTGACCTTATGGCTGACCTTTTGATGCAGCCCTGTCACCCATCAGAGCGTACACAATGGAGCAGCAAACTTTACTTCTGTGGCAATCACACTCTGGTGACTTAGGACGTTTCAACTGTTAGTTTAGTTTTTCCTACCAGCATGTGAAATCCATGTCAAAAATAAGAAGTTATAGATTTAATCGAATTCCAAAATCAAGTTAGCTTTTTATGTATAAGGAAACAGAGCTTATCTACTTGAGCATATAGAAAAAAAAAAGGATAATTGGTTATCTTAGTTTTGGTTGTTTAGTTTTGTCTGCTGTCTCTCATGTAAGACTTTGAATCTCTGGACCCAGTTATTATATACTGAACTTCAAAACTAAATCAACTCAGAAAAATAGGGAATATATATATATATATATATATATATATATATATATATATATATATACACACTTAGTTACCTTTATGGAGAAAAGTATAGATCTCTCTTTCTCCAACCCCCTTCTCATCCTTCTTTACCTCCTCTTCTTCTTTTCTCTCCTTCCTTTCTTCTCCCTTCTGCTACCATGAAAACATGAGGAGATGTTTACAGTTATGTTTCCTATATCATCACATATCCCTTGAAATGACTCTTTTAAGTCAGGACCCTCCAACCTTCAGAGTTTAAAATATTATACAGTCGGGCACTGATGGCTCATGCCTGTAATTCTAGCTACTCAGGAGGCTGAGATCTGATGATCACGGTTCAAAGCCAGCCCGGGCAGGAAAGTCCATGAGACTCTTTATCTCCAATAAACAACTAGAAAACCAGAAGTGGCGCTGTGGCTCAAGTGGTAGAGCGCTCATCTTGAGCTGAAGAGCTGAGGGACAGCGCCCAGGCCCAGAGTTCAAGCCCCACTACCAACAAAAACAAATTAAAAAAAAAACCATTACACACAGAGACCTCCTAACTGGTAACCCATCCACATCCATTTTCTTTTTCTTGAAGATATCAACGAATGCAAGATGATACCCAGCCTCTGCACCCACGGCAAGTGCCGAAACACCATTGGCAGCTTTAAGTGCAGGTGCGACAGTGGCTTTGCTCTTGATTCCGAAGAAAGGAACTGCACAGGTCAGTGACGAGGCCTCCAGGGGCCAGAAGGGGGACAGCCTTTTAATCCCCTCCCGCTCCCTACATAGCTACTCACTCGCTGCTGCTCCTCTTTCTGTGCCAGACATTGATGAGTGTCGCATCTCTCCGGACCTGTGTGGCCGAGGCCAGTGTGTGAACACACCCGGGGACTTTGAATGCAAGTGTGACGAAGGCTATGAGAGTGGATTCATGATGATGAAGAACTGCATGGGTAAGTGTGTAGTCATTTGGTCAGCACGGGAAGGAAAGGATTCCAGAAGGTTCTGTGTCATAGACCATTTGTCCCAGGTTCTTCCCGCTACCCACCACACTTGTATCCCAACCAGTGAGTCAGTCTGGGCAGAAAGAGACTGGTGAGGGGAATGAACTGGGGAGTTTGTGCTGGAGGATTGTGGGTGACGTTGACAATTAAGTTGTGAGTCTGACACCTGTACCATGAAGTGACTTGAGTACGATTTAGGTATGAGCTGTAGTAGGGATCCCATTTCAGTCTTCTGGAGATGCAGGCCAATTCAGGATCGGAAGAGAAGCCAAGAGTTCACCTGCATTGCAGCCTTACTCTGGTTTTATCGAGAGCTCTATAGTATGAATTGTACCAGAGAGTTGTCCTCATGTTGAGACAAAGTCAGGGTATGATGCTTTCATGCCAACTCAGTCAGTCCTTACTGTGGCTACTATCTTGGGAGAGGGCTATCACCTCTTACTTCCCAGGTGTAGCTGAATGAGGAAGACAACAGTTCTCCAAGAAGGGAGCAAGCCTTTCGCATTGAGGACTCCCAGCTCTGATGGATAGTAAAAAGAATGGCTTGCTTTAGTAGAACAGGATGTCACCACCTTCTTCAACTTGTCCGACTTCCATTTTGCAGATATTGACGAATGTCAGAGAGATCCTCTCCTGTGCCGAGGAGGTACTTGCATAAACACAGAGGGAAGTTACCGCTGTGAATGCCCACCTGGTCATCAGCTGTCCCCAAACATCTCTGCGTGTATTGGTAAGGAGAAAGATTTTTCAGATCACTTGTTTGAGGACGGACAGGCCTCTCTGCCGGAGTCAGATCTTGTCTGAATCAGAGGAACTCTTTTGGTAGGGATGGGCTTGGGAGAGCCAGGAGAACTGGAAGGGGGAAATAGCAGGTGTTGAATACGATCCAAGCACCATCATATCTACATGTGAAAATAATGTAATGGAATTAATAACTTATTTGAAAAGAAGCTCATGTTTTCATGTTTACTCTTCTTGGTTTCTAAACAGACATCAATGAGTGTGAGCTGAGCGCAAACCTCTGTCCCAATGGTCGCTGTGTGAACCTCATAGGGAAATATCAATGTGCCTGCAATCCTGGGTATCATTCCACTCCTGACAGGCTCTTCTGTGTTGGTGAGTTCTAAACTTCCCTTTTCTCTTCCACAACTCTCCAGTAAGGCAACCTGAGAGTTCAGTTTTCATCACTGCTTTGACTTCTTGTTTCTTTTTGATTTCCCCTTTCAGTTCTTTTCACAGTAGATCACAATCTTTAGCTCTTAACCCAGTTTATCTGGTTTAAAGAACCAGTAGAGTGAAAGGTGTGGGATGTTTTAACTAGAATAAGTGTAATTTGATGCCTATTGTTTTGAATGATGAACACCAGCACATGCATTGTTTACCAGCAGGCGTGCTAAGGCAAAGCAGCCAGTGATAAGGAGCGCTGAGATAAGCTAAACATAATGAGGGCTGTGGAAAAAAGCACAGGGTGAGATATCTGCCCTTAGGCGGCACAGATCAGCTAAAAACTTCAAAGGATAGCTGTGTGGGAGAAGTCAAGGGAAGGTTCACAGCTTGCATTGGAGGAGAGGCTATGTATGACCCTCCTTATAAATGGATTTTTGTGGGGACGAATATTTTGCTTCCTGATTGCGTCGGCTGTAGGTTTAATTATGCTGCAAAGCGTGGCTCAGAAGGCTCTGGGGCTTTCCTATTCCCTACATCAATTTCTTATTTCCTGCCAGTTTTTGCCTCATTTTGACTGTATATCACATAGGACTGCCAAGTCTCACATGTCTCTTCTGAGACAGGACAACTCAGAACTTCAACTAAGGTTCTAATAAAAAAAAAAAATGTTGGAAGCTCAGCCAGTCAATTAAACTGAAAATTCAAAACTATAACTGAATCAGTAAGCAAGAGAATTGCCATAAACAGAAGACGTTATCTCAGTCCATTTGTGCTATGGCAACAGAGCCTTTTAGGCTGGAGAATTTGTAACCGATAGAAATTCACTAGACTTACAACTCTAAAGACTGGAAAGTCCGATATCAAAGTATTGGTATGAAGTTAGGACCTTCTTTCTAATCTTCCCAAGAGAGTGAGAAAGTGCAACAGGTGAACAGATTCATTCTTTTGGGTTGGCACCAATACTACCTTTGAGGGAGCCCTTATGGGATAATCATTTTACTAGGGCCCTCCTTCTTAATGCTTCTATAATGGTAATTAAATTCCAGCCTAAATTTTGCAAGAGATAAACATTCAGATTATACCACAAGGTGATATCGCTCTCATTTTGCTTTTCTTAGACATTGATGAATGTAGCATAATGAATGGCGGCTGTGAAACCTTCTGCACCAACTCAGAAGGCAGCTATGAATGTAGCTGTCAGCCTGGATTTGCACTGATGCCTGACCAGAGATCATGCACAGGTGAGTACATTAAGCCTCTCACCGAAGGCTTTCAAGAACAGTTCTCTAAGTAGAGTGGTTCAGGGACTGCGCTTTGGATTCAGTCTTGGGTTCAAATCCTTGTTTGTTATTTTAGGTATGTGTCTTTGAACAAGATACTTAATATCCATTTTTGTTTTTGTTTTAGCTATTAGATGGGATTCAGATGGTATGGAAGAACATTCTAAAATACCCTAGAGTTGGGCTTATAATAAATGGAGTAGAAAATGCATTTTCTTCATTGATCAGGGTTTGAGAGAGGTTGACCATTAGACCTAATTCAGTGCTCTTCTGGGTATGTTGCATAGACTGCAGCAACAGCATTGCCCAAGGTCTTGGTTGAAATGAAAATTCTTTTTTTCTCTCTCTCTCATGTGCTCATTCACTTTTTGTTTTTTTTAAAATATTTTTATCACTGTTAAGTAGTTGTACAAAGGAGTTACCATTCAACAATCACACTATATCTTGCTTGATATCACCTCTTTCATCATTTGCCCAAAGTGCAAATTCTTTTTTTTACATTTAATTTTGTTTTAAATTTTTCTTGTAAAAGGGAGGTATAGAGGGATTACAGTTACATACGTAAGGATCCCTCATTTTCTCTCATGCCTCCCCGCTCCCACCATGCGAATTCTTAAGAAGAGAAATTGTACTTAAGAGCCACGATTAGTTTATTTGACTTAGAAAGCGCTCCCTAACCAACTACACAGGTGACTTTGGCTACAAAAAAGTAACTATTAGAAACAAGATTTTTAACTCAAAGTGTATCTAAGGAGATACTCAAAATTTCAAGCAGGTTTTACCTTAAAATATCAGTAAATAGAAGCTAATAGACATTAGGCATCTATGGTTTTACAATGAGAAAAATAAGATAATCATTTTGAATGAAAATTCACGTGAGTTAAGATTTCTAATTAAAGGATAGACTTTTTGAGGACCCTGGACTTGCCCTTAAACAGTGTCTTATGCATCTTGAAAATGATTCTTTCTCACCCAGGATAACTGAGTAGGGTAATTGTATAACGTTCCAGTTGGAGTTGAGGGTTAATGATCTTGTGCCAGTAGATTGAGTTTGTTTGACTTGAGTCAGCTAATGTTTCCTGCTTGAATAATGGATCCACCTATGGCTGTTGCCTTTATTCTTTGTAGACATTGATGAGTGTGAAGATAATCCCAATATCTGTGATGGAGGCCAGTGTACAAACATACCTGGAGAGTATCGGTGTTTGTGCTTTGATGGGTTCATGGCATCTGAAGACATGAAGACTTGTGTAGGTAAGGAAAGAGGACAAGGTTTTCTCACTTGTCTGCTTAGTCATAGCTTTAAAAAATTACCCAAAGGGTAGTATGCTTTGTGGATAGATGGCTCTCATTGGAAAAGAAGCCTATTTAGGGGCGTAGAACTTGTAGTTAAATATCTTGTACTTCCACAGACCAGGTGAAAGCTAGCTTCTATGATTTAGCCAGGTTATATGACTCCTCTCCAGTGGGGAAAGCCAATAGTGAGTTAAACTTCGTAAATCTAGTATTCTTTTTTCTCCTGAAAGTGTTTAAACATAATATTTCAGAAGTGGCGCTGTGGCTCAAGGGGTAGAGTGCTAGCCTTGAGCAAAAAAAAAAAAAAAAAGCTCAGGGACAGTGCCCAGGCCCTGAGTTCAAGCCCTGGGACTAGCACAAAAAAAAAAAAAAACGAAAATTCATGAGTTGTTTGTTTGTTTTTTTTAAATCTGAAAGTGTTTTACTTTTTCTAATTTATTTGCCCTAATTACATTATCTCAGGGAGATAGAATTCAATTGTATCGGAGCATTGGGTGTATGAACAGCATCTGTGTTTTACAGACGTCAACGAATGTGACCTGAATCCGAATATCTGCCTCAGTGGGACCTGTGAAAACACGAAAGGTTCCTTCATCTGCCACTGCGACCTGGGCTACTCAGGCAAAAAAGGAAAGACGGGCTGCACAGGTGTGTAGGTTTCCTTCATACGGAACAAGCAAATGTTACGTGAAAAGACTACTGATATTTAAATTGTATCATAACGCATACTGCGCAACACTTTTAATACATTTACCTTCTGTACATCTGGCATTTGGCATATTTTATAGTTGAATAACAGTAGACATTTTTATGACCTTTACCAGTGAATAAAAAAGACACCCGGCATGAATTAGCATCATAAATGACATTTTAGGAGGCTAAAAGCACGTTTTAATAGCAATGCAATGACCAGGCTAATTATCAGGCATTTGTAGCCCTTTCTCAAAGCAAAGTGTTGTATATAGTACTCTTGCCATGTTTTGCTCAAAGTTTTATAACTGAAATTGTCCTTGAGAGGTGGTTATCTTTCTGTTCAGATGTCAACTATCTCCAATCTTATGGTTTCTAGAATAAGAGCACTTTTGATATATTTTGCTTTAACTCACATAGCAATTTATTCACGGGATTTAGTAAGTCCTGTAAAGGGATAATTGAACCATTTATAATTTTTATGTGTCTAATACTAGTAGTGTCTGGGGAAAATCTTCCCTAATATGTATAGAAAACTCATCTTTTAAATACCAAATGGATGAAGGCATGCTGTGACAATGGCATTATCTTATTAATGTCTAGTTGGAATCTTCAAACATGAAGCCATGATACTATAAGCACATGGATTAGCAGAATGAAGTTTTACTGGCATATTTTAATGTAACATTATGACATAAGCATAATTTAAAGTATAATAGAGCTCATGGTAAACTTGAATTAGGTTTAAAAATTTTTAATATAAATAGAAGGCTTTAATTCTAATGAAAGAAAGTTAATTTCATTCATGGCCTGTAAGAAAGGGTCTCTAGTATTCCAAATTCCAGCCCACTAGGGTATGCACAATATTTGATTCTTTTCAATTTCTTTACATGAAGAAAGCTTAAATTTTTATGCCATATTTTGGGTGAGATATAATGTCTGTAACACCATTGAACATTGTGTTGGCCAAAAAATCAGAACAATTGCTTTCTTATTAAGTGAGACATACAAACACTGTCTTTAGAGCCCAGTTTAAAGGCATAACATCTAACCAATCGAAAGTAATCATTCTTTACCAATACATCTTGAGATCAATTTGAGGAAGGAAATTTTCACAATGTATGTGGAAGGCTTGTTTTTTATAGTTGGACTTGCAGAGACTTTGGGGACAAGTGCTACATGATAGATAACATCTATCCTGTTTCACAAAACAGGAGCCTTTTAGTGAACTTGAAGCATGAAGAATGGAAGAAATACCACGTCCTTTCTGTGGGGCCAGTATCTTGCCCCATTCCTTTACATTGCTGCCTAAAATAACTTTTCAATCGGATAATACTTCATTAGCACTCTTAGAAGAAGCCTTGACTTTCATGGAGCCTTTAGGATCAGAGTAGCAGAGATACAATATCCTCACCTGAGCAGTGGAATCCTGAATTTCATTCCTAGTTCTTCCATCCATGTTCATGATCTAGTACCTGGATGTTCTTGTAGTTACTCAGTGGTTTCCCTGAGTAGTTGGCACCATGGTGACTTGTAGGAGGTGAGTCTGCATTAGCAAGAGGAGAGAGATTGTAAATCTTGTTATTACAACCACCAAGGGCATCTTGTTGGATTGGAAATGACTTGTATAAACAGAAATTGACAGGAAGTTTAATACACTCAAAAACAAGGTTAAAAAAAAAGTCCTGGGCCAAAAATACCTTTACAATCCCATGTAATGAGGGTTCTTTTAGCCTCCTTTTGCTTTAACATTGGGGTCACTGGTAATTTGGAGTACCATTAGGTTACCTTGGTGACCGGCACGATAAAGACAAGTGTTTATAATGTCCCAAGCAACTAATGTAAATAGAGGCATGAATCTTGCCTAATTAGATGAGCAAGCCACACAACAGAAAAAGCAAGAATAGACCTTGGACCTGTGTTGTGTGGGAAAAACATACAAGATATAGATAGATACATAGATAGATTTTTTTTTCAAATGAGTATTCTGGAAAGGAATTACAAAAACATGTATGCTATTTCATAAGAAGGGACTTTCTTTCATGAGAACTAAAAAAAAAAAAAATAGTCATCTGGGCTCCATGACAGCTTGGTCTAAATATTTCAGCTCCTTGTCATTACTGATTGTTTCCATTTTAACAAATAAACATTTTTTTTTCCCTTGCCAATCACTTCAGCAGTGTTAAGAATCCACCCACTGCCTTACATTCCCAGCCCACACAGATGCTAAGGGGTTATTTTTTCCTAGTTATGCTTTGTCCAAATTGTGGGTATTGCTGAGAGGAATGTTTGATTTAATGGAGAGAGAATGTGCCTTTTACTTGGAACCTGGGACCTCGTTTGTCCTTCCTGGGGCTGGATTACAAACCAGTGCAAACCTTCTACTCATTCTACATACCTGTGATTGTAGGAAGAAAAACAACAGGTCACTGCTAGGTACTATTCTGGGCACATCTTGGCTTTCACAAACATTTTTTTTTTAAGAACCTGTCTTCCCTGATAGGTTCCCTTAGTCAATTAATAGGGCATGGGAGGGAATGGAATGGAAATCAGAGTTGTTTTTTTCAGTTACAATAGTAGGATGTGTGGCAAATCTATTTCTCCAACGCTCTGGTGCCTTTCACGTGAGAAATGTTTCTGGAGGGCCCTCACCCGTGGGAGAGAATCACATACTTCACCCACTAGCAGTGAGGGAAGAGTTGTGTTCATTTCCTTCCTGTTACTTACCACCGCTAATTCCCTGGGCAGCTTGTGAAAACTCCATGGGTGTTCAGTTCACAGTTTTGTGTCCTGTTTTCATCCAAATGAAGAAATCCAAGTTGCCTTTGTGTTTGGCCTTTCCATTCACTGCTACTTCCTCTTCATCAATTCCTAATCCAGAAGATCCCTCATTGGCCAGCTGTGTGGACTCAGAGATCCAGAGGGCAGGAAAGCAGGTGCTCTGTGTGGGATGCAGCCTCTCCCTGTATCACGGCGGTAGGAGACCAGCGCAGCTTAGAACGCAGCCCGTACTGGGGCAGCAGACTTGCGTGGGTCACAGAATCTACACTCCTGGTCTGCTCAGACCACGCCCCAGGCCTTTGCCCTTCAGGGGCCCTGTACGCAGGACCTTGGAGTCTTTGAGCCCAAGGATTTTTGGGAATAAAGAGGATGCAATGTCAGCCTAAAATTTGAATTTCTTTGCTTTTCTTGGCTTCCATTTAATCTTAAAAAGGAATTTTCTGTCTGGAGCAGACTCGAAGGGGAAAGAGAACATTTGTACAGAAAGAGATGTTCTTGGCAAGCACGGGCTGTGTTTCTTCACATTATTAAAGAGAGTTTCAATTCAGCACTTTGGTTTGCTTGGTTTCCTAAGGACTCAGTTTCCCCTTCTGTTTGCTTTTATAACAGCACATCTTCTTAGACGAGTGTGTCACACACATAATGATGACATAATTGTGTTGTTGGATGCATAGGCATCCACACATGTGCAATGACTTTTTATTCAGAAAGGCTTTATGGCCGTGTTGTTGTTCTAATTCACTTGTTACGTACCAAGAGTAGAAGGCATTTGAAATGATGAGTTATGTAAGTAGGAAGCTGAATTTTGACTTGTGAATTATTCTGTTTTAATATCCCAAGGCCTACGATAATATGCCTTTTGGAAATGCCATTCCATTCTCCTTGAAAGCATAACAACAAAGTTAAAAATACCTATTGAATTAGAATTTTCTATTGATATATTATTAATGCTAAAAGGAGATCCTCCTTTTTAAAACATACGGTAATTTTTTTTATTTTTTTGGTCAGTCATGGGGCTTGAACCCTGGGCCTGGGCGCTGTCCCTCAGCTCTTCAGCTCAAGGCTAGCGCTCTACCACTTGAGCCACTTCCAGTTTTCTGAGTGGTTTTTTTTTTTTTTTGGAGCTAAGAATCTCAGGGAGGGCTGGGAAGGTGGCTCAGTGGTAGACTGCTTGCCTTGCATGCATGAGGCCCTGGGTTCGATTCCTCAGCAAAAAAGAAAAAAGCCGGAAGTGGTGCTGTGGCTCTAGTGGTAGAGTGCTAGCCTTGAGCTGAAGAGCTGAGGGACAGTGCCCAGGCCCAGAGTTCAGGCCCCACGACCGGACCCCCCCCCCCAAAAAAAAAGAGTCTCAGGGACTTTCCTGCCCAGGCAGGCTTTGAACCACGATCCTCAGATCTCAGCCTCCTGAGTAGCTAGGATTACAGGCGTGAGTCACCAGTGCCTGATCCGGATGGTAATTTTTAATTTTTATTTTTTTAAATTTTTTTAAATGATCGGATGGTAATTTTTTTAAACACAAGATTACATATAAAACCAGGCGCTGGTGGCTCCTGCTTGTCATCCTAGCTACTCAGAAAGCTGAGATCTGAGGATCGTGCCTCAGAACCAGCCCTGGCAGGAAAGTTTGTGAGACTCTTAGCTCCAATAAACCACCTGAAAACCAGAAAAGGCGCTGTGGCTCAGGGACAGTGCCCAGACCTTAGGTTCAAGCTCCATGATGGACAAATAAGTAAATAAATAAAATTAAAAATTACATATAAAAGCATGAAGGAGCTAAGGGTACCTTTGGCATTAAGAAGTTGAAACGATACAGGATTCTAGGCATTCACACACAGCGAAACCAAAGGAAGATGCTCTTAGAGGAGGAATACAAAGGTACAGTGCTTCGGTGCTCCTCATTACATAAATTACTTATCAAAATGAAAGAAAAGAAATTGGAAAGGAAAAAAGTAAATCATCAACTGTTGGGGTTAAAGGCATGGCTCATTTGGTAGGGTGCTATTCAGTGAGCAAAAGTATCAGGTACCTAGTTTAAGTGCTGCTCTCAGACCTTAAAAAAAAGAAATTGGTAAGAGATAGTTTCTAGATTAATCAACTCTTTTTAAAAAAGTGTTTAATAGCAGAGACACAAATAACAAAATAAGGTTAGGGAAATGGGGTTGGCGATGTGGCTCAGTGGTAGAGTGCTTGCCTAGCATGCATGAAGCCCTGGGTTCGATTCCACAGCACCACATACACAGACAAAGCCGGAAGTGGTGCTGTGGCTCAAGTGGTAGAGCATTGGCCTTGAGCTGAAGAGCTGAGGGACAGCGCCCAGGTCCAGAGTTCAGGCCCCATGACTTACCAAAAAAAAAAGTTAAAGAAATGAAAACAGGATCCACAAAGTGGTGGTGTGAGTCTTCTGAGGAAAGCAGTTATTTGCATGCCCTGGTTGAAAGCATTGGTGCCAGTTCTGTGGAGTCTGTAAGGACAGGTGCATGAATATTGCCCTTGAATTCCCAGGCCCACTTACCCTGTTACTCCTGAGTTGGCTGTGTCCCTTCTTTTCCTGTGCACAGCTCTTCAGTTGGTTAAAGCTCCCAGTCACAAGTGTAAGCAGAGCGCCGTCCTTGACCTGCCACCAAACCTCTATAGGTTCCTGTGCTGCCAAGGTTTCGAGAAAATTCACCTGTGCAAGATACGGTGATTATGAAGATAGTCTTCCAGATAGGGTTCCTTGTTGTGGCATTGCAAGAAGAAATGGTGCAGGAGACACTGCGTTTCTGTTTTGGTTTTGCTCTTGAGGTGATGACGTCAAGGCCGTGACGGTTGCAGTTTCACAGGGCGCGTGTGGCGAGCAGCATGCTTCCCAACACTTTCACATCATTGAACGGAGCCTCTTAAGAAAACAAAAGGGAAGATACATGCCGCTATTCAAGTGATCACTGGAAAGTCTTGTACATTTTGTATCTCACTGTTATCCTTCCTGACCTCCGTCTATCTTGTCTGAGACTTTAGTTTCCACATAAACTCATAGCATCACGCCCATGATTTTTTACTCTTAATAAATAACAGTGCTGATTATGAAAACCTATTCGATAAAAGGTAAAGTTCGGGAAGCAAGATGTTTTTCACTTCGTACTTGGTCTTGTTGTGGCTAAATGTGGAGAATGAAATTTTGAGGATTGGAGAATTAGGAATCTTGAAGTAATTGGATGCTAATCTGCTATTTTTTACTCTGTCAAAATCCCCTCTAGAGTGACTTGAGTTTTACAGAAAATATTTAAGAAGGGTTAGGCTTCCCATGTGCTAGGACTCACTGATGTAAGAGCAAACATACTGCTTTCAGGAGTATTTTCTGCACATGCTTGAATTAGCCTTATCTAAAATAAAAGATAAAACATAATTAATAATGTTTTAAGTTTAAGAATAAAATGTTTATTATATGTAGTGTGAATCAAGTTTTCTGACATACCAACAACATTGCATTCCTTTTTTAATGTAGTTTGTAAAAAAAAAATCTCCATCATTACTCTGTAGTTGACTTGATAAGAATATTGACCATAAAATATATACCCATGAGTATTAGCTTGGTAATAGAATAGACTGGTAGGTAAACCCACTTCTTAAGTTCTTTACCTGGAAAGAGGTTCATTTTGCTTTGCAGTGACTGGATGTTTACAATACAGAAAATAATTAGAGCTAGCAATAGCGAACACTATCAAATTGTTCTTTCTTTGTAAATTGAAACATAAAGCTGTTTGATACATAGGTTAAATATAAACTTATATTTACACATAAATCTAAACTGTTGCATGGATGAAGGCAAGTTGATGTTAGAATATTGCTAAGCTATTTAAAAGAACAGAGGAGCACTTGTGTGAAGCTTTTCTAAACCACTGATTATTTTTCCAGATATCAATGAGTGTGAAATCGGAGCACACAACTGTGGCAGACATGCTGTATGCACCAACACGGCAGGAAGCTTCAAATGTAGCTGCAGTCCGGGCTGGATTGGAGACGGTGTTAAATGCACAGGTGAAGTGGAAATTGCTTATCATGACCTATATACTGTAAAGGCAAATTTACCTTGGCTATAACTTGTTTTAACTGCCAGCTAACTGTCAGTGAATGATGATGTAATGTCATTCCTTAAGATCTGGACGAATGCTCCAATGGAACGCACATGTGCAGCCAACATGCGGACTGCAAAAACACCATGGGCTCTTACCGCTGTCTCTGTAAGGAAGGATACACGGGCGATGGCTTCACTTGTACAGGTAGGCTTGCGCTAGAATGGGAGGCAAGGTCTTCCACACATTTCAGACCAAGGATTCTTTGGGGAGGGCAGCTTAGCAGAAAAGATTACTTGGGACTAGATTCTTACAAAATAAAAATTTAGAGCCAAGGCTGGACTCTGGTGGCTCACGCCTGTAATCCTAGCTTACTCAGGAGACTGCGATCTGAGGATCGTGGTTCAAAGCCGGTCCAGGCAGAAAAGTTCCAGTGAGACTCTTATCTCCAATTTACCACTCAGAAACTGGAAGTGGGGCTGTGGCTCAATGTGGTAGAGCGCTAGCCTTGAGCAAAAGAGCTCAAGGACAGTGCCCAGGCCCTGAGTTCAAACCCCATGACTGACACCCCCAAAAAATATTAGGCCCAGGTCAACTAGAGAATCCTGAAAAGTTATCTTTCTTTCTGTCTCCCCCAATACCCACACACAATTTATCTATCTATTTTACTGTGTATTCTGATGTCATTTGTTTAAAACAAATCACATTTCCTTTTACACTTCACTTTTATTTTACTTTGTTTTTGCCCGTGCTGACTTGTTTCCCAAGTCAAACTCAAGGATACTGTTATCATAGAAGGCTATGTGAAGACAAGGATTAGATGCTTTGAAGGAGGAGAGGTGGATGTATTTTTATGCAGTATTTATCTTTTTTCTCCTTCCCATTATCATCCTGCTCCTCATTCTATATGAGCTTCTGTAAGAATTCCATACCTGTTTTGCAATGAATGCATTCACTTTCAGTTTTATATAGGGAGAATGCTCTAATTAATATATAGTCCAAGAATTAATGTGAACCACTGTGCATGTTTTAATAACTACGATTAAGATATGGTTGCATAAATTGCACCTACATGGTTAAGAGATTGAGCAGATAAGACTGTTATCTCCTCTGTGGTTACCATTCAAGCTCCTTTGCTGTGCCTCTGAGCTTAATAGCATAAACAATGACATACTCTTTCCATTCATAAATCTGTCCTCCATGTGTATGATCTTTTGGGGAAGGGTTTGCTTAATTTGTTTGGCTTATTACAGACTCATTTTACAGTTTTAGGGGCGATTTTGCAGTCAGAATTCTGAATCTGAAGCACGTATTCATTGCATATTTAGCATTCAAAAGAAAAAGACAAGTCGAGTTTACGTATATGAACTAGAAGACATGGTGAAATAGCTACTCTCAGGAAGCTGACACTTACTAAAAAGCATTGGAAAGCTCCTCAGTGAAATAGAGTAACTTGTGTTTCGTCCTGTCTGTAGACCTCGATGAGTGCTCTGAGAACCTGAATCTCTGCGGCAACGGCCAGTGCCTCAATGCCCCTGGAGGCTACCGCTGTGAGTGTGACATGGGCTTCCTGCCCAGCGCTGACGGGAAAGCCTGTGAAGGTAAGGCACCGGTCAGCGGCTGGAAACCTTCCAGGGCTATCTGAGGCTCAGGGGTCTAAATATTCCTGATCCTTGTCTTCTTGTGAGGTGGAGGTATGTGTTGGCTTCACATCTTAAGTTGATCAGTTTCAAGGAGAGCCTAGGTCTCCAAATGAAGCGTTTCTCTGCAAAAAAAAAAAAAAAAAAATGTGCAGAGAAAAATGTGTTCTCTTTCTATAGGCTACACCTCCCAAACTTAGTGACATGATCAGATGCAGTCGACTAATTGACATAAGAGAAAGAGGATCACCAAGTGTGGTCACTCAACATAGCACACTTACCCTTATCTATGGGGAAAAGAACCCACAGCAAAGGTCCCCTGTTGTTTGCATTCTAGAAATGAAGGCTTCGGAATAATGGCAGAGCAGATAAGCTTCTATGTGGAATGATTTACCTCTGCAGTCTTTATTAGGTAGAATAATGTCCTAAGTCCGGCCCAGAATATTCTCTACATAGCTAACATTTATAATCATAGAACACTGTTTTATAAAACCATCCGTTGGGAACCTATTGGAATAATAGCATATTATCAGGGGTTCTCTAGGCTTAGAGAAGCACTGGTCAGAAAGGAAGAGTCAGCCAGGCACCAGTGGCTCATGCCTGTAATCCTAGCTACTCTGGAGGCTGAGATCTGAGGATTGCGATTCAAAGTCAGCCCAGGCAGGAAAGTCCGTGAGACTCTTATCTCCAATAAACCACTAGAAAACTGAAGTGTCACTGTGGCTCAAGCAGTAGAGTGCTCACCTTGAGCTGAAGAGCGCAGGGACAGCACCCAAGCCCAGAGTTCAAGCCCCACGACCAACCAAAAAAAAGAAAGGAAGGAAGAGTCTGGGGACCTATCCGTTAAGCACAATTAGGAAGCACAAGATTCTCCTCTTTACCCAGCCTTTTCAAACCGAAACACATTCTTCCTCATTCCAAATAATTAGTGCCTACAATGAACTAAGAAGATTTCAGTAGAAATAAACAGATGATAGCAATTGACAAGTTTAAACAAAGCCCTGAGTAATGTATTAGCTAATAAGTTGTTCCTTGTTAAGAAGATACAACCTTGGAATACACCGTTAACTCTGATATTTATATCTATACATGTCTACTTTATATCTTATATATATTATATAAATATATTTCTTATTTATCTCGTGTATTTCTCACATATAATTTATCATTTATTTCTACATAAAGACTTTTCTTTGTTCTTGAACCATGGGGTGCTCTTTATACAGTTTGTATTAAATATGTAGAAGTTGATATAAAACTCTTCTGAGGCAAGAAACTAGATTATGCTGTTGATCGTGTGCCTAATGCCTTGTTTACTTTTTTTAGTCCAAACATCCAAGGAAAACAGGTACTGTGCCACCTCTAGTAACATAAACAGTCACAGTGAAAGTTTTCCTTGTCTTAATGCTAGAAAGGAAGGTTTTGTTTATTTGTTTGTTCTTAATATAAATCATCACTGGCAGCATGGCCCTGGCTATTTAAAGCCAGTCCCGAGTCTGAAAATGTGCCCTGCATCAGTACCACAAGCGTCTGTCATGTGGCAGGGACAGAAGTCTGAGGGAGGGGCCCCTCCGTGTTTTAGATCTCTGTCCATAGTAGCAAACGCACGCCAGTGTCTGTCTTTGTGCGTGGAGATTTCTGTTATTCACTAGGGGTGGTGGATTATAAAGCTGACTCATAAAGCTACCACAAGGAAAAGATTTTGTAGTTCTTAAAAAGTTTTAAGCCACAACAACTGAAATAGGGGATATACTGACAACACCAAAGCATGTATTCTACTCAGGCCTGTTGGGCCCTTGCTTTAAAAAGTGATGCGGACCCATTTGAAGGGAAATAAATACGCATCCATTCAGTCTTTAACTGCCTGGCCTCTAATGCAGACGAAGGAGCCATAGCCTGTTATCAGTAAGATTTCCTTGTGTGTAACAGAGGATCTAAAAGTCTAGAGAAGTGTCTAGATCACTGTCAGAGAATTCATTCCGTCAGTAGTGATATCAATGGCCTAGTTTTGGTGGGTGGATTAACCTTTCTGCCCCCACTTCCTTTTCCCCCAAGATATCGATGAGTGCTCTCTTCCCAACATCTGTGTTTTCGGCACTTGCCACAACCTCCCGGGCTTGTTCCGCTGCGAGTGTGAGATAGGCTACGAACTGGACCGAAGCGGTGGCAACTGCACAGGTAAGGCGTCCGTTCACATCCAGGTGGGCTCCCAGGCATCCGGGGACTCCGTTCCCAGGGCCTCACTGGGACCACACCATGCTACCCTCGAGAGAACGCCACACAGAGGGAGGAACAGTTCCTCAAATCCCGAACCGACTAGATGTGAGGATGCAGTAAAGGGAGTGAAAGCCAGGAGAAGGAGCAGAGTGCACAGTCTTAGAATGAAGCTCGTGTCTCGGAGGGAGTGTCCCTCAGAGTTGTGTTCGCCTATACGGCTTCACAGACATTTCCTTTCTTTCTAGGGTAGATTTCCAGAGTGTGTCTTTTGAACGCCATGCCCACGGGTTTTCTCCTTGTGCTTTTCCATTGTAATTTATACCCTATCCCAGCCCATTTCTTATGTCTAAGTCCTTTACCTGTAGAGCAAATCACTTTCTGGGCAATAAGAAAGAAATGGTAAGAGTCCCAGGCACCCAACGGATTATCACTCACTCGCTCTGGCACCAAGTGAAGACTTGGACAGCGACGGACATTTCTTACTCCTGAGCTCCTCTTCTGGTCAAGGATACAAATAGAACTGGTCACAGCATGTAGAAGCTCAGGATTTCAGGAAAATTCTTTTACTTAAGCTACTTGAACAAGCCATGACTCAGTGGCTGCCAAGATCATGACGACCACCAACCACCTCCTCACAAAGGCTTTGGACTGGAATATTCCTCCCAGGCATATGTCTTCCCTTAGTTTTTTCTAGAAAGCAGTCTGGTATCGAGCGAGGCTTCTAGCATACCTCAGGAAGTTACCTCTCCCTAGTCCAGGCCCCCCTTCCTCAACCCCAAGCCATCGTTCTAACCTCATTGCCATTAGTCCGGTCCTGTCCACCCCATTTCACATGGGATTTGAGCAAAAGAATCCTGTCTTACAGAACCCACAGGAAGATTAGCAGCGCCATGAGAAGGTCCTGAGGACAAAGGCCCTGTTCTCCAGCCTCCCCTCGCGGGATCCACTTGTCTAGTTTTGAACATTTCCTAAATGTTTAGAATAGACAAAAGAATTGCACTGGAGTGGGAATTTTCAAAAACCTATATCTTAAACATTCTGCCCATATTTTGTAATGGAAACTGGGGGGGGGGATATTTAACTCGGTATGGATAACTGAGAGACAGAGAGGAGAGAGACAGAGAAACAGAGACAGAGAGACAGAGACAGAGAGAGAGGAGAGAAAGAGGAGAGAGAGAGAGAGACTCTGAAGGCTAGAAGAATTATGCTAGGGCCCTTGCATATGTGTTCAGGAGAAATAGCAAAGGTTGCCTGCTCCCGAGGGTTCTTGGGGACATCTTGCTCTAATTTGACAAAATAACAAGCCACACATATTATATATATATATATATATATATATATATATATATATATACCTGTTTCTCAAATTTTGGTTGACCTGGGTCATGGCAATGTTTTGCCTTCAGTTACCTTGACTGGAATGTTTTCCCTAGTCCCAAAGTTATATTTTATCCTGATGACAAATTTGAGTGGTAACTATGTTCCAGGGGAAAGAGATCAAAGAATATGACATAGTTCCTTCCTGAGGGGTTTTATTTCAGAAGTGGAAGACTGCATTTCTACATGTAATTATAACTACTGACTCTTTAAAAAAAAATCTTGTTGGGGGCTCTAGACTTAGTTCTACCGTTTTAGGATGATGTCAGCCACAACGTTGGCCCACTTGGTAATTCTACCCATGAATGTTTGGTTGTAGATGTTAATGAATGTCTGGACCCGACTACGTGCATCAGTGGAAATTGCGTCAACACTCCGGGCAGCTACACCTGTGACTGTCCTCCCGATTTTGAGCTGAATCCTACTCGAGTTGGCTGTGTTGGTAAGATCCGTGAAATGTTTTCAGAAACCGTTTCTTATCGTTAAACATTCTATTTACAAAATAGTCCTATTACCAAATAGTCTATACAACTTTTTTCTAGTTCAACTTTTTACATATATACAGTGAATATGATGACTGCATTGTCCCACCATCCCCCCCACCCCTCAAACATCTCCAGTTCCAGCTTCATGGTGTTTATTTTGTTAGACTATAAAAGTTAGTTTGAATATTCTAGCTTCATGGTTACTAAAAGTAATAGCAGAGAAATGATTATATTTCTAAGATTTTCAGATTTCCTTTCTTAAAAGTCCAAGTATATGCTCCTGGGTACTTTTTTACTTTCTTAGTAAAAGTACATTATGATGTTGAATGTCATTTCAGAAAAGACTTTGAATTTTCAACCCCTAAGTGAAAAGAATCTGCCTGACACTCTTTCATTTGTCTATGGTAAACAGATACCCGCTCTGGAAATTGCTATTTGGATATTCGACCCAGAGGAGACAATGGAGACACAGCCTGTAGCAATGAAATCGGAGTTGGCGTGTCCAAGGCTTCCTGCTGCTGCTCTCTGGGTAAAGCCTGGGGAACTCCCTGCGAGCTGTGCCCTGCTGTGAACACATGTAAGTAGACATCCTACTATTTGTTGTTATTGCAGCTCAGGCCAATTCTCTTTTTCTGCTTGCACAGAAAAGAGAAGACACGGAAGGAGGGAATCGCTAGTAACCTCTGTGCTTATGTAGGAAGAGTAGATGGATTCTCCCTTTACCCTGTGGGGAGTCCTCCTCTCTACTTGAAAGTCACAAAGTACCCCCATTTTTTCTTGCACTAAAAGCTGGGCCGGGGCAGGGAACATCTCTTTCCTATCTGAGAGCAGCTAGCATTACTGAAAGTGCATCCAGGTTAGGGGACCACTGCCATGTTGCTTGCCTTCCCCAAATGCATGGATGGATCACTTCTTACTTGGTTGGCTGGGTTGGGAAATACTGGAACAGCCTCAGAGCTGCAAATTAGTTATAACAACAACTATAAAATCATTCCGCTCATAGGGTATTACTGAAAAAGGAAGCTTTAGGATATGATTTTAAGGACAGAAATAATATATCCCAGGGCTGGGAAGGTGGCTCAGTGGTAGAGCGCTTGCCTTGAATGCCTGAGGCCCTGGGTTCGATTCCTCAGCACCACATAAACAAAAAGAAAAAAGCCGCAAGTGGCGCTGTGGCTCAAGTGGTAGAGTGCTAGCTTTGAGCTGAAGAGCTGAGGGACAGCGCCCAGGCCCAGAGTTCAGGCCCCACGACCGGACCCAAAAACAAAACAAAAAAAAGAAATAATATATCCCCTACAGAAATGAGTTCTTATTTTTGAAGCGAATGCTGTATTATGCGTCAGAATGGGGTGTTGCTTCCTTAGGGAAAGTCAGTGGCTGCCATTTATGGTCCATTGGGGTATATGTTGATATTTTTTCCTCCTTGCTAATGGACTACCCATTCCTTAAAAAAAATACTCCATAAGTACCTGAGTGTCTTGTTTGGATGTAGAAAGATGAATTCGAATAGATTCTGCCCTCTAGACGTATACAGCTCAGTAAACCAAACATGACCCAAACCTAAGTGCTGTATACAAGCAATGAAGGCGCCATGACTGATGGGAGGAGCTCTCCCACTTGTCACATTGGGCAAGCTGCTTCGCATTGTGGAATATCACGCTGGATTAAACAGGGTCATTCATCCCAGCTACCACCCTCTCCCTTTGCTTCGAAGAGGGGATTCAGTTCACTCTGGAAGAGGGTACTCACCACTTGGTACACTTTTTCAATTGAGCATTTAAGAAATGGTGTGGCCTACAAGAGGAAACTCCAGAAGAATGGAAAGTAGCAAGAAGAGGAAAAAGAAAAAGGAAAAAAAATCACTTTCAGTAATGTTGAATGCCGCAAATCTAGATTTTTCAGTTGGGGAAACACAACAGTAATCTACCCAAAATTCTAAGACAGAATTAGGATGGGAATGAATTAATACATGCCATTTCAGAAAAGCCAGGTTAAGGATGATGGTAAGGTTTGGAAAGCAAGTGATGGTTGTAAACTAATTTTCTTCCTAAAATGATGCTGAAGACCGGGTTCATGCTTATTCGCATGTTCCTGGGTGTATCACAGTGCAGGTGTATGACACCGGAGTATATGGTCCTGGATGAAACTATTGGGCGAAGAGCTAAATGTAGGAATAGGAAGATACTCTAGAAGGTTGATTGGGGGGGGGGCTGGAGAACTAGCATTCATTTAGTCTGTCTCAGAGGAGCAAGGAAGGAAGGTGGGTGGGCACTGAGGAAAGGTGGTGGATGGAGGCTGAGAGAAGGCTCTTCCTCAGCTTCACACCCGATTAAAGGAAGCTGGAATTCACATGAAGTACAGCTGATTGACATTTAAAAATGGGGATAGAGCTCTTTAGAAAGCTTTTTTTTTTTTTTTTGGTCAGTTGTGGGGCTTGAACTCTGGGCCTGAACATTGTCCCTGTGTTCTTCAGCTCAAGGCAAGCACTCTACCACTTGAGCCACAGCACCACTTCCGGTTTTTCAGTGGTTTATTGGAGATAAGGGTCTCACAGACTTTGCTGCCTGGGCTGGCTTTGAACCATGATCCTCAGATCTCAGCCTCCTGAATAGCTAGGATTACAGGTGTGAGCCACCGGTGCCCGGCTAGAAAGCTTTTGGAAAAGAAAGATCTTTTGAAAAGAAATAGTGTTGGAGATATTGAATGAAATAGTTCACAAGGCAAGACAGTCAAGAGAGGAACTGAAGGGTCCCAGGACCAGGTACACTGGCCTTATGTACATGTAACAGAATCTATTTGCAAATGACAAATACACATAAAGACATTAACTCACTTTACAGAGTTCCACTAATGGCTAAAGATTCCTGAGTCTTCAGGAATATAGTGAGATAGATCAGCATTTCTCTGAAAGGTAACTATTTCTAGAAATTCTATATCGGAAATAACTCACTTTGAATTTTTTTTTTGTGGTCTTGATAGCTGAGTACAAGATTCTTTGTCCTGGAGGAGAAGGGTTCCGTCCCAACCCCATCACTGTGATCTTGGAAGGTATGTCTGTTTGCTTTGTCTTACAGTACGTGCATTTTGAAATTCTTTAGGTTTCTCCACGTTGCTGAAGGATTGCTCTTGTTTTCAATCTGATAGATATTGACGAGTGCCAAGAGCTACCAGGACTGTGCCAAGGGGGGAAATGTATCAACACCTTTGGCAGTTTCCAGTGCCGCTGTCCAACCGGTTACTACCTGAATGAGGAAAACCGAGTGTGTGATGGTAGGTAATCAGCCCTTACTAGATGATAAGTTCTTTCCAGCATTGAGAACTGGACCCGAAAACCCATCCTACTGTTATCAGGAGACTGAAGGCTTAACAGTGTAAGAACAACGGTCTAAATAGGACCAGTGCCACATTGTTGCCCTATAAGTGGAGTTTTGCGATGTCAGGCCATAGTCCCATTTATCCCTACAGACAAGTTTTCTGGATGCTTCCAAAGAGCCATTAGAGCAGCACCCAGTCCCATTTCAGGAGCCACAATGTTGGGGGAACCTTCTGGGCTCCTCTTACCTCTATCACTTCCCATCAGTACCAGGGCCTTTAGCTACTAAAAGACGGGGAAGGGTTGAATATGTCCAGGCTTTGGAGCACCCGGACTGTAGAAGTAGATGGGAAAGCTGAGTTTTACCTAATTAGAGCAGTCACACATCCAGTTAGGAAGGACACTGTCTTGTGTTCTGCATGGGAAATGTTCTCCTGCTTCTCCCAATGGTCTAGAAGATGACATGGATGAGTTCCTTAAGTAGAGTTGAGTATCACAGTGCAGAAAACACAGATCTCAGGCTCGTGGATAGAAAGAATGCAGGAGAGTTGAGGACCTGCTTCCATATTGCCTTCCAGCAGGGACTCACAAAGCTCACTGCTGATGGATTCAGGACACGTTATGTCCTTCTGTAGATTCTTACACACATACCACGTGTAGAGTTGTCATTCTGAAGAATATCTGAAAATACTCTCTCCACATTCCCACCTCCTCTTTGGAGTTGTTCCCAACTCATTGTATCAGGAACTCCAATGAGAACGCAAGAGTTCCTCAAACGTCCTTTCCTGAAGACGCACACATTCACACAAAGGACCCGGATGAGCTCCATGCCTCCTATTCACATCTAGATCTCAGAGTGTCCCGCTGCTCTTCGTGGTCACCATTGATGTTGACATCGGGTATCAGACTACTTATTCCAAAGAGTGTTTTCCTTTCTCCACTTCCCTTTCTCTTTGGATTGTAGATGTGAATGAGTGTGAGACTCCTGGAATCTGCGGTCCGGGGACGTGCTACAATACCATCGGCAACTACACCTGCATCTGTCCTCCGGACTACATGCAAGTGAACGGGGGAAATAACTGCATGGGTAAGGCCACGTTTGGCTTCTCGTTTGCAAAGCCAGGACCAGCAGCTTGGGCATTTTGCACTGCTTTGTGTGGGTGGTCAGGAGTTGTTTTTTGTTTGTTTGTTTTTAATGTAACGTCAGAAAATCCCAAACTGCAGTTTTATAAGACTTCTTTTGTTTGACTTTTGGGTGTATCTTTATACGGTTATATTTAAAGCACTGACCTACAATATTAAAACACCGTGAGTTGGAAATGAGAAACTCACGTCAAATAACGGTGGAGAATTGTTACTAGGAGACCGGGTGGGGAGTCATGGAAAGTTTATTGATCCTACGGCTACACAATGACCTCGTTCCATGGCACAACATACCAGGGAATATATTCCCCAAATTATTTTCATTGTGGTAGTATAAGTACCTTCTTAGCTGCCTATAAATGTTATATGTTGGGACTGGGAAGGTGGCTCAGTGGTAGAGTACTTGCCTTGCATGCATGAGGCCCTGGGTTCGATTCCTCAACACCACATAAACAGAAAAGGCCAGAAGTGGCTCTGTGACTCAAGTGGTAGAGTGCTAGCCTTGAGCTGAAGAGCTGAGGGACAGCGCCCAGGCCCAGAGTTCAAGCCCCATGACTGACAAACAAACAAACACAAATGTTATGTGTTTATGAGCAGACTTTGTCTGCCTTTATCAAAGCCCAGTGCAGTACCATTCATTTGCTCCTTGAGTATCTCGCCAGACCTGTTGTGCTTTCCTCCATTGGCATCACTAACTCTTCTGTCCTCCTTTCCTCTAGACATGAGAAGAAGTTTGTGCTACAGAAACTACTATGCTGACAACCAGACCTGTGATGGAGAACTGTTGTTCAATATGACCAAGAAGATGTGTTGTTGTTCCTACAACATCGGCCGAGCCTGGAACAAGCCCTGTGAACAGTGTCCTGTCCCAAGCACAGGTGAATTTCAGTTTTATCATTACCACAAACTATAGTTGATAAATGATGTGTGAATTGTTGGGGGAAGTCAGTCTTGGCCAAGGAAGAAAAGGATGCTTTTTTTTCCCAACCTTTATAAGAACAAATTGGTGCACAAAGACAAATATTCACTTCAGCTGAAAATTTAGTCATTACATATGCTTCCAGATTTATACGCTAATTCATAACCAGACATGTAGGCTTAGCCTCTCATAAAAATGTAGACATTGTTATCATTGTTTCAGTTTTTCAGGTAACTAAACAACTGGAAACATTCTATATAATTCTTCTTGTTTTTATTTACTTAAAACTTGACTTTTTCCAAAAAGCCAAGACTTAATGACAGTTTACAAAGATGTATTAAAATTCGAAGCATACATAGGTAAATGGCAAACAAGAGTAGGGACATTGGCACAGGGGCAAAGTTAATACATGCCACCCAAGCTGAGAATCCAGACACGTAGATGTCACAGATGCGCAGTGACTTTGGCTCCAAACTTGCTTGCTGCTCTTTTGAAAAGGGAAAAATGATTAATTATAAAACTCTTAACGAAGCTGGGCGCTAGTGGCTCATGCCTATCATCCAGCTACTCAGGAGTCTGAGATTTGAGGATCACAGTTTGAAACCAGTGTGGGCAAGAAAGTCTGTGAGACTATTATCTCCACTGAATCCCAGAAAAAAAAAACAAAAACAAGTGGAGTTGTGGTTCACGTGGTAAAGTACTAGCCTTGTGCAAAAATTGTTCAGGAACAGTGCCAAGGCCCAGAGTTCAAGCCCCAGGACTGGCAAAAAAAAAATTCTTAAAAATTACAAAGCAAAGTAAACATCAAAGGAAAGGAAAATACAAGTTCTCTTGATAGAGAGGCTAGAGAGACATTTCTTCTCACATTCTTATAAAAAGAAAAGATTATGTTATCCCTTTAAGAAAAAGGATCTAAATCACAGTTTCAGGAAATGTATACTTGGGTGAAGTGTTCTTTTATGGTATATACTGTATACCAGATGTATTATGATGGCATTATTCCCAGTGCTATGGTTTGAATTATCATTGAAGGAAGAGATGAAATGTTCTGTAGTACCTACTTAGTTCTTCGCAGTAAAAACTGGCCTTGAATTCCTAGGTTCAGCTCTTCAGTAGCTGGGACCATAGCTGAGCTACGATGCCTGAGTCATGCTCTATTTTCACTAAAATCCTTCCAGAAACCTATTAAATATTCAGTGGGCTTGACCAATAAATTAATGGCCACACCACTTAGGACTGAAGAGCTCAGGAAGACCACAGGTGGCATTTAGTTCATCCTTGACTATTAATTTGATGAGTTCAGGTGATAGATTAAGGCAGACATGGGTGGGGGGGGGAGAAGACACTGCACCCAATGTGACCCAGCACCAAAACTGAAGTAAGGATGAAGCTGGTTAGCAGACGTGCATTATCTATCTGCTTTCATCTATATTTATATGTATATATATGCACACATATGTATGTTTATATATATGAATTAATCATTACTATATAAGATGTCTCCCCCCAGGCTACTGAGAGGCTTCCGTAAGCATTCCTGAAGCCCTGGAGAAATGATGGACATGGAGAGGGGTACCTCTGCCAGTCTCTAGTTTCAGGTTAAAACCTAAAACCCCCGCCACGTGGCTCCGTCCACGTTGGTCAGCAGATCCTTTCTGCAGTGTTCGTCTTCTACACCGGGTTACATTTGTAGGTCTTTTTCAGCTTGACCTTTTATTTTTAAATTCTTGAAAACACCGATGAATACCTTTCAAGAACGTTTGGAAAGTGCTTTCTTTCAGTCACGTCTTGTTCTTGGCTGACCTCTGGCTCCTCTTTGTTTTCTTATGGCAGATGAATTTGCCACCCTCTGTGGAAGTCAGAGACCGGGCTTCGTCATTGACATCTACACTGGTTTACCTGTTGGTAAGTTATGAGTATATGTGCCTGTAAAGATCGTTGGAATTTTTTTTTGAGGTTTGCCTCTGCTTTTATCTATGTGATTTTTTTTTTTTTTTTTTGTCGGCCGTGGGACTTGAACTCTGGGCCTGGGCGCTGTCCCTCAGCTCTTCAGCTCAAGGCGAGCGCTCTACCACTTGAGCTACAGCACCACTTCCGGTTTTCTAGTGGTTTATTGGAGATAGGAGTCTCACGGTCTCTCCTGCCCGGGCTGGCTTTGAACCGCGATCCTCAGATCTCAGCCTCCTGAGTAGCTAGGATTACAGGCGTGAGCCACCAGCGCCCGGCCTCTATGTGATTTTTTTAAAAAAGCGGTATACACCATCATTTCCAATTTTTTTTTAAAAGAAGCAAAACCTGTTGACCAATGCCTTTAGCTGTATTGAAACCCTCGTTCTTAGTTTGAAACAGGCTGGCTGGGCGTTGATCGCCTGTGTAGCTCCCCCTCATTGGCAACGGCATTCATTGGTCATGATTAAAGAGACTGGAAAGCTTTTCACACAATTACAATCAATTTAGTTAAACCAACCCTAGGCATCAACAAAGAGAGATTCTGGGAGCAGAGCCAGTTGACACTTGATTGGATTGTAATTCTTGATTTTTTTTTCCCCTTCTGACTACGATGAATTTAATACGTCGTTTCACACCAACTGTTGTGTGTAGGCTATTCACAGAAAGCCCTTCTTGTGGATGAATTTTGTCTCCCATGGCCTCTTGCTGGGTCTTCTGCTTGAAGAATTGCACAAGTGAAATGAAAAAGAGATCGCTTCAGTGGTCGAGAGGCTTGTGCTAGTTTCTGAAGTATCACACAGCGTTCAGCCAACGTAGGCAGAGCCCTTGTGGTTTCAAACCAAATAACCTAAAAGCAGACAGAAGGCTCTTGCGTTCTCAGGGATTTTCCCTGGTGTGATTGATACGCATCCTCAGATGCCCTCTTCCGTCTGGTGTCTAGTAGCGAACATTACCTCCTGCTTGGTTCCACCTTATTCCTAATAAGTAAGCTGAAATCCGCATCAGCCTTTCCAGTGACCTTGCTTAAGAAAACAAGGATCTGGTCCAGCAATCAGCCTGACTCTCTTAGTGCCAAATCCATATGGCTCCACAGGCAGTCTACGTCCAAAGAAACTTCATGGTTTGGAAAGGGAAACTGCTAAATGACGTTGGCATGAAACACCTGGCCCTCGCTACTTTGTTTTTCCCCTTCCCAAAACAGATCTTTTAATCCCCCTAGAATCTGTGATCAACAGATTAAGTGGGCTTTAATTGTAATGGTTCTCCTTGGGGCCGGCCGGGCATAACCTCCAGGAAGGCCTCTAAGGTTAGCAGAAAAACAGAAGACTTGACCTGGCATCCACATCATCCACTAGGAGAGCTGGAAATGCCTCAGACATCATGTAGGCCAAATGCCTTGCTTTGCTATTGAAGAGACAAGAGGCCCAGAAAGGGGAAGAGACTCACCCAAGGCCACCTAGCTAATGAATAACAGCTGGGATTGGAACCCAGGCCTGACTCATAGTTTGCTTTGCTTCTAGCCCTTGAAACCTAGAAACTTGATATGTAGCAATATACTTATTGTTACCAAATTCCACCATGACAAATACTTAGCTGACTGAAAAATCTTTGTTTTACTGAAGTTTCATATTCTCCTTTGGAAAGATCTTGGATTGTTGGCCATACAGACTTCACTCACGTGAGGCTAAGTGTGCAGAATGTTTATTAATATTGACTTAAAATATAAACATCTCCAAGCTGAAGTTAAAATGAAATCCAGGAAAGAAAAAAAAATTTTTAACGTGTTTGTTCATTATTTTATGGATAATCATGACAGGAGATTTGACTCAGCTTGTTGCATTAAACTTGGTAATAATGTATCATTTTTATACTCACTTTCATAACATATCACTTTTACATTATACATGATCATCATTAAACAATTGTATAACAAATGAAAATATTCTTCATATTTTGATTTACACTAAAATAGGGAGTTTTTTTGTTTTCTTATAATACATAGGTAGCTATGGTGTTACTTCGTATGACTATTTAACATCATGAATGTCTGAATTGTGAAAAACCTAAAAATCAATATTTGCCTATATTCAAAATAGCATTGTTTGGAGATTGTACCCTTTTGTGATTCTCAGCTACTTTTTTGATTAGGTCTGTCCGTTTGGCTTTTAAGCAAAATCAAACCCTTTGTAAAAGGGTCTAAAAATCTCTCTGTGGCCTAATTTCTCCTTTAAAACTAGTTAATTTTAGCTGGGTGCTGGTGGATCACACATACAATCCTAGCTACCTCAGGAGGCTGAGATCTGAGTTTAAAACCAGCCCCAGGCAGGAAAGACCCATTTTCAATTAACCACCAAAAAGCGGAGCTGTGGCTCAAGTGGTTGCTCACTAACCTTGAACACAAAAGCTCCAGCCAAGGCTCAGGCCCTGAGTTCCATCCCCAGAATCATCACAAATACATACACACACACAAAATAACATTTTTTTTTAAAAAAGGTTCATTTTAAAATGAAATTCTTCTGAAACTGCAGCAGGTGTGGGAGGTTCCACTTGAGTCGTGGAGTCTTGAGTCATGGAAGACTATGATCTTCCAACTTAGGAAACCAAAGTGCCTTGCAGAAGATCCTGCCCATAATATGGAAACCAAATGTCTCAGTAACAGTAAAAGAAGCCCAGTGAACCGGAGGCTTGGTAGCCCATGGCTGAGCATACCCTCCCAGCTTAGGTGTTTCCTCAAACCGCGGTCAAGGCTTCAGGAACAGGCCATAAAGCAGGTGTAGCCCCCAGGTTTAGGTAGCCCTCAGCCTACAGTGAGACAGTCCTTTCTTAACCCAGCCTTTTATAGTCAGGTTCTGTTTATCTGTGCCCAGTGGATACAAAGAAGGCTCCTACCTGTTCAAAGATGATGTTCTGAACCTAAACTCAAAAGATAGAGCCTAAGTCCACATAGACAGGGGAGTCTCTGGAGAGTGAATTAGTTATTTCCATTTGCTATCCACTGATACCTCCTACTCCTCTCTAAGCAAACACACACACACATACACACACACACACACACAGAGTTCCACTCCTTTCTTATTCTGCACACAGATCGTGAGCTGTACTGTCACTCACAAGTGGCTTCTCTGTTTTCAGATATCGATGAGTGTCGGGAGATCCCCGGGGTCTGTGACAATGGAGTGTGCATCAACATGGTGGGCAGTTTCCGGTGTGAATGCCCCGTGGGGTTCTTCTACAATGACAAGTTGCTGGTTTGTGAAGGTGAGTGGTGGTGGAATTAACCTCACATCCAAAAACAAAACCGGTGGACGAGCTACTTTAAAAACTTGTCAAATCTGACAAGGTGGAAATTTCAGAAGAGAATCAAGTTCGAGAAGTGGTGTGGTGTAGAATCAACATGAGTTTTCAGGAAGAAAAAAGAAACAAATTCCCGGTGGAAAAGTCAGGATTCTGTTGGGCAATTCCTTCCCTCAGCACACAATGTATTCGATTTCCTGGCCGATATGAACAGCTTGGAGTTCCTGGGTGTGTCACATAGATTGCTTTTGTTTCCCCTTGCAGGAAAGCAAATATAAGTGGACAGTCTTTTTGTTGTTGTTGTTGTTGTTGAATCTTAAAGTCAGCATTCTCTTCCAAATGGAGACTTGGGTATTCCCAAGTGAAAACAAGGTTAATTCACATATTCCAGATGCATGAAAGAATTCCAGATGGCAAGAACAACAAATCTGATTTTAGATGAAAAATGTTGGTATGCATGCAAATGGTACTTGTTTTCATTTTCAAACTACTTCCTATTGCCATGTATACGTATTGAGATTCTGGGTATTCCTCACGCCATCTGGGAAGACAGTGTTCGTTTACATTTTAGTCAAGACAGAATTGCTGGTTATTAAATATGTTCTATGCCCTAGGATAACTGGAAGAATTTTCTAGTCAGTACTTGACCTTGGGGCTTCTAGCAGAGTTGTGGGTATTGTAGAAAGAGTCATTACCCTCGAGATATGTATTATCATACAGAAGTCCATATTTTATTGTTTACGACACTTGCATTTTCCAAATTGGGGACGAGTTGGATACTAGTGCTAGTAAGCACGTACTTGTTAAGCTCTATCTATGACTAGGCTTTTGGTTGTTGTAAATGCCAAGTGGTCAGAGACCACTTACCTTGTGTGCTGTGTAGATTGTGGGGATGGACTGATAGCCAATCAGAACCTTCCTAAGGGGACCACCAGTTCAGCCCTTGGTCCCAGTCCCCAGGCTCAGGAACCATTGAGAATCCATTTACTGACAAGGACGCATGGCTATAGGAGAGGACAATGGTGATCATCTAGGACCAGAGGTGGCTGCCTTCCTCTCACCGCTACTCTCTTCTTCCTCTGGTACACCTCAGGCTACCTACAACCTTCTCCTTCTCCCTTTTTTCATTCAGAGGTCCCTCAGATGATTTCCTTGCTTCTTATTTGCCATTTGTATTTACTAAAGCAGCAGCCTTTGACCAGAGCCCGTAGGCAAGATCACCCATGCCCAGCAAATCAACAGCCCTGCAACATACAGCTGTCTATAGTTGAAGGGATGAAGTTGTTCCAAGTATACTGCATTGCACCCATGAAATGATCACCATACGCCCCTTGTTTTACTATTGATGTATGCTCATAAAAACTAGTGAAGGAGGCTGAGTGCCAGTAGCTCAAGCCTATAACCCTAGCTGAATGACTAGTAGGAGGCTGAGATCTGAGGATTGTAGTGTAAAGCCATCCCAAGGAAGGAAAGTCCCTGAGACTCTTATCTCCAATTAGCTAGAAAAAAAAAACTGAAGTGGAGCTGTGGCTCAAGTGGTAGAGCACTAGGCTTGAGCAAAAAAGCTTAAGGGGGCACTTGGGTCCTGAATTCAAGTCCCACAACAAGCACAAAAAGAAAAACTCTAGAGGGAGGGAGGAAGGGAGGGAGGGAAGGAGGGAAGGAGAGAGGGAAGAAAGGGAGGGAGGGACCCAGAACTGGTACTGAGGGCTAGAATGGTGGCTCTCTCCTGTATTCCAGGCTCTCTGCATAACTAGATTGTGTCGTTGCAGCCGGGGAAGAGGGGAGGGGAGCATGTACGCTATTTGCCTCATGCAGTCATTTTTGTGATACTGTGAATTTGAACTATAATAGGTACATTTTTTTTTTCTCTTTGAAAGTAGGCAAATGATACCCTGAGCAACGTCAAGGTGCCAGGGTATACATCATCCATTTTCTTCTTTTCTTGGATGTGGACAATTGAATTGGTTCTGTTAGGTTTTTGTGAAGTCTCCGCTCTCGGCTTTCCTCCGTTCCTTCCACTGCCTGAAGGCAGTAACTTAAGCATCCGTCTCCAACAGCCCTGCTGCTCAGAGCTCGGTCTGTAGACCAGACACCCACACCAGCCAGCCGCCGTTAGACATATAGACCCCAGGCCATTCCCCAGCTGCGATGCCTCAGACACTGGCTTCAGTGAGATCCCAGTGGACACTGAGGTTTGAGGTGCTCTACTCTAAGTCCCGGGCTTTGAGCAAATGCAGGACTCCTGGGATCCACCCTGGATTAAGTCCTGTTCCTCAGAACATTTCATGATAGTCGTAAAAAGACACGAGCATCCTTTGAGTCCATAAGTGGTCAAAGTCTGTGTCGTTGTGAATAACACTGCTGAGGCGGAAAGTGCAGATGGTAGGTTCTTCTTTTCTCTTTACCTAAATCGACCTTGTTTTTTAGGGAAATAGTAGGTTCACATAAACACTGAAGGGAGGTTCAGAGTTTCTCAGCCGGCCCTGACCCCAGCACTCTCCACCAGAGAGGGGGATTGCTTTCTCCTGATGAACCTGCGTGACACCCTATTGTCCCCCGAGGGTTCACCCACTATTGCTGGGTTTGGACAGACTGTGACGTGTGTCTGTCCACTCCTATAGTTTCTCCTGTATCTTCTTACGCCTCACAAGCGCATTTCCTTTTAGAAGCTGAGACTGGTCACAAATATCCCATGTTTTAAGTTCCCCACAGTTGGTTCACCTATTGACTGCTTGCTTGCTTGCATTAATGAATACAGCTTCTATAAATACCCATCCTGGGTGTATATATATATATATATATATTTTCCAGCAGATCAAAGTAAGAAAGTATAAACCTGTTCTTGTGGGAGGGCTCTTACTGTGTTCCACACCAGAAGTCTGTTATCCTTCTAATGAAACTCTCTTCGGCTCGCAGATATCGACGAGTGTCAGAACGGCCCCGTGTGTCAGCGCAACGCCGAGTGCATCAACACGGCGGGCAGCTACCGCTGTGACTGCAAGCCCGGCTACCGCCTCACCTCCACCGGCCAGTGCAATGGTAGGGAGCGCCCAGCGGCCGCCCGTGCCCGCCGGAGGGACGCCGTAGCACCTGTCTCTTTGAGCTATTGGCACTCAGGCATTCACGACCTTAGACTTTAATGTGGAATCTCCAGCCACTAACTCAGAAAACTAGTTAAAAATACTTCGCTTTTTCTTTTTTAAAACTCTCTTTATAGATGGAGATGTTTGCCAAACCAGAACAGTATCACTTACACAAATAGGTTTCGTGTGTGCCTTTTACCGCTGTGCCCGAAGACACATATCCACACACGCCCAAATTTTGTCCCTATTTAGGACCAATATATTATTACTAGTACTATTATTATTATATGTTATTCCACCTAATCTCACCTTGGACAGGTGAGATGTGCACCACCTCAGCTATGACAACGTAGAAGTGTAGACAGTGAACCTGTCTCAAGCTGGACATCAGCCTGACTAAAGCAAACAAGCAAAGCCACTAGCATCCTTCTCTTCCCAACCAGTGTCCAGACCAAAGATTGCTCCGGGAAGCCAGCTCGTGCTGAGTCTCTTATTAGCTCTAAAGCACTTATCGTGAATGAAAACCTCTCCCCGAGAGTTTACATATTTTTGGTTTTCATCTTCGTCGAGGGTGTAGTAGGAAGGATGGGTGTGATATGAGCTTAAATTGATGGCAGAGTTAGCCTCTGATGGTGTCTTGTAGCTAATGATGTGAAAATGAAGACATTCATCTTTTTAACTCAGAAGCAAAAGAACATCTCAGAGTTGTATCTGCATGTAAGAAATGATAAATCATTGTATATTTAGCTAGGAGGCGAGGGGGGAAAATAGGTTATTCTGCTTGTAGTTCATTTTCAAGTGAGTTTCCTGCGTATTTTATGCATTTATGAATGAAACAACTCAGGGGGGCCATGGTCGATTTTCCTTGGATTTCCTCTCTGGCCACTGATGAAGCGGTAGGAAGTGCTCTGCTCTCTGTAGGGTATTTTGCATTGTTTTATGAGACCTTGGTGGGAAGAGGGTGTATGAGCCGAACAACAACAAAAAAATCACTCTGAGGATCAAGACCTGTTTTGTTGAGTTTAAATGAACGCGTGCGAATAGGTAGCATTTTGTCAACAGAGCTGCTGCTATCTTTTGTATTAAAAAATATAGAGCAGGAAAAGTGATATGAACCACAATACCCTCACCCCCCCCCCCCCGCCAGTGAAACCTGGCATGGATACCACACTTCCCTGCATTTTCCTTGTAATTTACACTTCTTTGGAACTGAGTGCAACGATTCCAGTCAAAACAAAGAATTACTGATAATGAAGAAAGTCCTTTCAGACCATCTCACACGCAGAGATAAAGCGGGCACAATTGGTTATAGATCAAGACAGGACATCGACAAGACCTGGGCTCCTGGTACTTACAGCCTTTTGTACTTTCTTACAGAGCATTAATAGGCATAAAGTACCTCTGGTGCTACCCGAGTTTGTGGTGTGGTACATTTCCCTCAGGAGAAAGGGAATGTACTTCAGTTTTCCAACTGTCCAGCCACTAGGATTGAAGACTTTCTTCTGGAAATGTCTTCATTTCCATCCTACTTTAAAAAAGCTCTTAGGACATCTTTAAATGCTATCCTATAGTTGGCAGCTTTTAAGCCTGGTGTAAAGTACACCTCTGCCTGTGCTTAAAATGGAAAGAACTAAGTTTTTCTCTCCACTGTGTGATTTTTATTTGAATTCATACAAACCCCAAATCACCTTCATGCCCACTTTGAGGCTGAGGTCAGAGAGAAGTAGGTGTCTAAGCTCAGGATGTGAGTCTGACTTCAGTATCAAATGTATTCTCTCTCTCTCTCTCTCTCTCTCACACACACACACACACACACACCTGCTCAAACCTCCCATCTCAACCTCAAACATAATCTTCTAGGAGTTTAATCCTGGTTTTCTTGGTGAAAGTTACTTTTCTGGTCTTGAGACATGAACACTTCACAAGTAAGTTCTCAGCCAGGGCAACTTATTTGTTCCACAAGTAGAATGCCCAAGAATCTCACACTTCATTTCCTAAACCTTCATGAAGTAGGACAAGGAAGGAGAGATTTTTTTTTTCTCTTAATTGAAAATCCCTTCCTGAGAAGATCCTTAACATTTTCCCTTGCTTTCTGGGACCTAGACTTAGCTGCAGTACTGTCTGGAGGTCATTCCTCAAGGTCAGCTCCCCTCCCACGACCGGGGAGTGGAAGTCAGCGTCCTCTGCCCATCCTGGTGGGAAGTTCGTTCGTTTTAATTAAATTTTCTAAGTGGAAATAATTATGTCATTAGCTAGCATTTCTGTATAAGCTAGCAATCCCTCCTAGGCTGCTTGATCCCAATTTTCCTTCTAAACGATGTGCTTAGCTTTAGTGTGGTGATTCACCAGCTCTCTGTGAGTGAGCTGGAAGGATAGTAGCCAGCACACATTAGTAGACTGGATTGCTCTAGAAAGCAAGACATGCCGGTCCCAATAGCTCTCGGTAGGCAAGATCAGGCGACAGTGTGGCTGTTTACCCCGGAGCAGGATGCCCTGTACTTACAGCAGCTACTGCAAAGGCAGTGCTCTGGTTTTGTGTAGTGTCAAAAGGAAAAGCCGAATCATGTAATTCCCTTCACCTTCCATTTACTGCAAATATGGAGTGTAAGAGCCTTTAAAAATGAGATGTAAGCAGGCCTGTAATTACGCCATCTGTGAATCTGCGTATCAAATTCTGCCCTCTGGATTTCAAGAGAGTAGCAAAGATTCAGTTGGTCACAGATATAACCGTGGGGCAGGTTGGGCTGTGGATCACAAAAAAGAGAACCAAACAAATTTCCAGAGGAAACTGCAAACGTCCGTGGTTGTCAAAACAATACACTTCAGTTGACTTCCCAATCTGAGGCGCTGCTTAGGCAGATCATCAAACAGAAAAAAAAAAAAAAAACCCTCCTATTTGTTCAATGGCAACTTCTTTATACAACTACTTAAAAGATAATGCTAATAATAATAATCCATCTCCCAACTGTCTCCTCATTACATATGTCTAAGTTTTCTCTCCATTTTGGAACTTTAAACCAGCCCTGTTTTTCATTGTTTTGTTAACATACTCTGAAAGTAAGTTGAAATGAATTTGGAAAAAGATGCACGGTCAGCAGGTGTAATATCACTAGGGTAGAGTTAGGATTCATCCTGAGAACAATACCTAGGAGTAAGTTATTGAGTTTGATTTTTTTATCTCCTAAGTCTTCACTTAAGAAGATGAACACAGGGGCTGGGAAGGTGGCTCAGTGGTAGAGCGCTTGCCTTGCATGCTCGAGGCCCTGGGTTCGATTCCTCAGCACCACATAAGCAAAAAGAAAAAAGCCGGAAGTGGCGCTGTGGCTCAAGTGGTAGAGTGCTAGCTTTGAGCTGAAGAGCTGAGGGACAGCGCCTAGGCCTAGAGATCAGGCCCTACAACCAGACCAAAAAAAAAAAAAAAAAGACACAAACTGCTCTGTGTACATTCCCACTTAAGATGCAACTTTTCTGTGCAGATCGCAATGAATGTCAAGAAATCCCCAACATCTGCAGCCACGGGCAGTGCATTGACACAGTGGGAAGCTTCTACTGCCTTTGCCACACGGGTTTTAAAACAAATGCTGATCAAACCATGTGCTTGGGTAAGTATACCCTTATCTTTTCCTTCAGATCTTGAAGTCATTTGTGCCTGAATTTGTATGAAACTTAATATGAAGTCTTGCCATAAATATCTTGGTATTTTCAAAATAAAAACCCAGGTCTACAGCAGTGACATCCTGCTTCTCTCTGGCAATCTGGACATAATAAACCTTCTTCTTGGTATTTATTAGGCTGTCATTTCAGTAACACATTCATTTCTTAGGATGCTGGAGATCCAACTCCAAGCCATATACATCTAACCAAGCCCTGTACCACTGAGCCCCACTCCAAGCCTTACAAGAACTTTTGACTAAATTGAGAAAGATATTCATTTATTATTATTGCTACTAGCCTGTGACTTTTTTTCTGTAACATTTAGGTAGACTCAGATTATTGGAACAGTTTCAGCTTTTGAGTGTCTGAGCATTTTCTTTTTGAGAAAGATCAATTGGTTTATACCAGATTCTCAAAACCAAATTTGTAAGTTGTACCGAAAGCAAGACAAAAACAAAGAATCATTTTTATTTTTTCTGATTGTGGGGCCTGAACTCTGGGCCTTGGCGCTGTCCA